ATCTGGAGAAGCTGAAGTTAAGACAGATACATGAGTTTTAAGAGAGAAGGAATAATTGACAGTGTCAAGAGTTACAAAGAGGTCAAGAAAGCAAAGGACCACAAAGCAGAAGTAAATTTAGCAGTTAGTGTCTTTTGGAAGATGAGTCTCAAGGATGTGGTGGGGGCAGAAGCTGGTGAAAATGAGAGCTGAGAAAGGTTGCAGAGTAGACTATTCTTCTAACAGCCTGGCTTCTGGAAGGAAAGATAATAATTAGATTAATAATTAGTAACAGGTAGTAATTAGAGGGAAGCAGCTAGGGGATTATTTTATTTTGTGTTAAATGAAAGAAATTTAACATGAGAGAAGAAATGAGCTGGTGGTAGACGGGGAGAAGCTAAAAATACAGAAAGAGAAAAGAAATTATTAGTGGATTAAAGTACCAGATGAGGCAGAAAAAGGAATCCATCCTAGTGAACAAAGTAAGACTCTCATCTTGACAAAACATAAAAAAATTAGCTGGCGTGAGCTACTCAGGAGGCTACTGAGGATCCTCAAGTTGGGAGATCACTTGAGCCCAGGAGGTCAAGGTTGCAGTGAGCTGTGATCACGCCACTGCACTCCAGCCTGGGTGACAGAGAGAGACCCTGTCTCAAAAACTAAAATCAAAAAAAAAAAAAAAGAAAAGAAAGGATCCAGGGCACAGGTAAAGGAATTTACCTTAGGCAGGATGAAATAAATACCCTATTTCACTGAGACAGGAAAGAAGGAACGTAAATGCAAAAACATGTATTTTGAAATAAGATGGGCCAGAAAACTGAGGAGTTCCTACCTGCTTTGGTTAGGCTTTGTGTTCCCACCCAAGTTTTTCCTTTTTTTTTTTTTTTAAGACAGAGTCTCACTCTGTTGCCTAGGCTGGAGTGCAATGGTGTCATCTCAGCTCACTGCAAACCTCCACCTCCTGGGTTCAAGCAATTTTCATGCCTCAGCCTCCCGAGTAGCTGGATTACAGGCTTGTGCCACCACAGCCAGCTAATTTTTGTGTGGAGACAGGGTTTTACCATGTTGGTCAGGCTGGTCTGGAACTCCTGACCTCAAGCAACCCATCTGCCTTGACCTCCCAAAGTGCTGGGATTATAGGTGTGAGCCACTGAGCCCAGCCCCAAATCTCATTTTGAACTGTAATCCCCAAGTGTTCAGGGAGAGACCTGGTGGGAAGTGATTGGATTATGGGGGCGGTTCCCTCATGCTATTCTTGTGTTAACGAGTGAATTCTCACGAGATCTGATGGTTTTACATAAGGTAGTTTCTCCTGTGCTGATACATACTTGCTCTCGCCTGCTGCCATGTAAGATGCACCTTTGCTTCTCCTGCCATGATTGTAAGTTTCCCGAGGCCTTCCCAGCTATGTGGAACTGTGAGTCAATCAAACCTCTTTCCTTCAGAAATTACCCAGTCTTGGGTATTTCTTCATAGCAGCATGAGAAGAGACTAATACACCACCTATTGGCCTCTACTGTCATTGTCACTGCTAACATGCCAGGCACATGACTAGGATTTTTAAAATCATTTATTCCAAACTCCATTTACTCTTACTATTTGCTAGGCACTTTGCTGGGTCCTAGGGATATAACAGTGAACAGCATACATTGCTCAATTAACCCCCATGACAACTCTATGAGACAGATACTCCTATTATCCCTATTCTACCCATGAGGAAACTAAGGCTTTAAGAGGATAAGTCACCTATGCCTAAGGCCACACTGAAGAGCAAGGGGTCTGACTCATATTGACTGACTCTGGAGTCTGAAGTCTTAACCATTAACCAAGTGAGGATGTCTGCTGAGAGTAAGTGAGGAGTCTTCGTGGACCTGAAAAGAGCAGAAAGCTTTAGACTATCTGCACAGAGATAAACAGAAATCAAGATCACGTACACATCAGCTGCATAAGCAGGATTAGACCTGAGATGTCCGAATTCTCATGCAAGTTCCCCGTCCAAGAGATGAATTTTCATTTCAAGGGTGTACAGCAACATTAAGGGAAGCAATGCTTTTATCTGATAAGGGTAATATTTAGTATATTTGGGACTACAGCGTCAAATGGTGTTCTTATCCTCTTGAAACGAAGAAATCACTTCTAACACTAGGTATTCAACAAGTCCAAGACAAACATCAGATCTTCTCAAAGATTCAATGTTTTTATAGATAATGATACGATTATTGCTTTAGGTTTTGACTATTGGTTTCCCTCCAAATACATTCATAGGCCACAAAATGATGTTTTGGTCAATGACGAGCCACATATACATGGTGATCTCATAAGATTATAATGAAACTGAAAAATTCATATCGCCTTGTGACATCAGGGCTGTCATGACATCACAGCACAAGGCATTACCTTTTCTTTTTTTTTCTCTTTTTAAATTAAGATGGAGTCTCGCTCTATAGCCCAGGCTGGAGTGCAGTGGCGTGATCTCAGATCACTGCAACCTCTGCCTCCCAGGTTCAAGAGATTCTCCTGCCTCAGCCTCCCAAGTAGCTGGGACTATAGGCGCATGCGTTCATTTTTGTATTTTTAGTAGAGATGGGGATTCTCTACTAAAAATGTTGGTCAGACTGTCTCGAACTCCCGACCTCAGGTCATCTGCCCACTTCAGTATCCCTAGGCATCTAGGCATCTATTATTAGATATGTTTATATATGTAAATACCTCTTTGTTACAAATGCCTACAGTATTCAACATAGTAACACGTTGCACAGGTTTGTACCTTGGGGCAAAAGACCATACCACATAGCCTAGGTATGTAGTAGACTCCACCATGTGGGTTCATGTAAGTACACTCTGTGACATTTGCACAATGAAATCGCCTAACGACACGGTTCACAGAATGTATCCCTGTTGTTAAGTGAAGGATGACAGTTGCTCAAAGTGCTTTAATATCTGTGATTTCATTGTTATAATATCTCTCGAGATTTTTCTTTAGGTGAAGAAAATCTCATAAAGGTAAAATTATTTCACCAAAATCATATCGAGTGAAAAAACTGGAATGATTCCCAGCTCTTAAGACGATTAAACTTCCCGAACAGACATCTGTCCACTCCTGATCTTAGGCCCTCTCCAAGTACACTGGAAATACGTACCCTGGATCCAGAGATGATGAATATATACAGACATTGCAAACTGTTGGCAATTTTTTCTTTCCTTGGAAAAATTACCTCTAGAACTGACTGGAGGTTCATCATCAAAATTGAGGGGTTTTAGAACCTTGTAGAAAGGACTGAATCATTCTTCTTGAATACAGGTGGTATTCAATATTTGCTAAATGAATCATTTCTGCGATTCTTAAAAACTAAGCTTTCTCAGAAGAGAATAGGAGTGTGAGCAAGTGTGTGTGAATAAGACACTTCTCAGGCCCCTGCAAGAGTAACTTAGCTATGCTGCGAACCATTATGGGAGCAAAGAACAAGAAGCTCAGCACACCCAAGCTTCCAGAAGAGTGCTAGCAGGACCAGAGCCAAAGGTGTGATCACAGCACAGATCAAATGACAGAACAGCATTCTTCTGGGTCTGTGTGGTGTGCTTTTTTAACTATCTGATTTACATTTTAATCAAAGGGAAGAGGAGAAAAATGGCCCACTTCTTTCCCACTGCGCCAGAGTAAGATCATGGACTGGAGCTTTAACACACACAAAGAGAATAGCCCTGTGATTGCAGTAAGACTAGAGTAAGGTGTCACAGAAGGAAAAGGCTGCAGACTTTTATTGAACTGTTTTAAAATACAAATCCAGAAGGTAGATAAGGATAGCAGAGGGAAAGTGAATTTTTAGGGACAGTCTTCTTGTGTAGAATGATGATAGACTAAACAGAAACGAAAACTTCTCCAGGATGTATAAGGAATGCACATCATAAAAATCTATCAAGAAACAATCTATCAATCTCCTTGAGAGATGGTCTTACGGGGGGCAGGCGGTGTGCGGGGAGGAACCAAGTGCATGATTTTTTTTTCAATTCTGACAAAGCTTGGATGTTAATCTTTAGAAAGTCACAGAATGTGCAAAGCTTTCTATTCAATTTAGACAGTAATTCTCTAAATCAATGATTTATAGAAACCTGTGAAGATTTCCGGAAATTACTCAATACTTCTCCACTGCAGTATTTATAAATAAGAAGCTTTGTAAATAAAGATAGTTGTGGAGAGAAAATCAAAAAAGGGAAAAAAAGTCAAGGTTTACAATCAGATCTCAAAATACAGCCAAAAGAAAGGTATAGATTATTCTGGCTCGAGGAAAAAAAAAGTCACCAATAACTGGTTGACCTAAACCCGGTAAAAATCAATTTTACATACTCAAATAATTGTGGATAAGCAACAACAATTTCTTGTTTTATTTTTGTTTTGTTTTGAATGGAAGCTGACACAGATTGTGAACAGAAGAGGGAAAAAACTTAGCCAGTTGTAAGCTTGATTTAAGGGTATATGAAAAGCATTTTGCAAACCTTAAAGTACAAATACCTCCCCAATAGCACAACCAAGTACATCACTGATACACTAACAGAATGGCTAAAGAACTGATAGTTTTTCACTCTCGTTCCCACTTTTCCTCCAAAAAATCTCATTGATATCACCAACATCTAATCTCCTCCCAACCAAAAAAACCTATGCTCTTCAACACAGTCACTCTCAGTACTTTACTTTAAAAAGTCTAAAGTATTTTTAGACTTAGATATTCAGAAACTTATCTGATTATACATTATATATAATTCACCAAAGAATCTGATGTTGATCAAAAAGTCATCAGCCCAGAAGGTAGCTCTAAATCCAAGGTGAACAGCAAGGATAAAATATGATCACAGCAGACAGATACAAGAAATCGGTACTTCAGTGTAAGGGCCAAATAGCAAAAGGCTTCTTCCTCCCACCTTTTTAATTCCATAGACCCCTATGTGACACCTCCAGAGCCACTCCAAAATGACCACAAATCTTACATACCCCAATGTTAAATGCAACTATACCGAGTACTTACTTGTCTTGGAAAATGTCCTGAGCAGTTACTTGATCCTTTTTCTTGGCTTCAATCAGAGGAAAAAGGGTCTTTATTTTAGAGAGAGGAATCTGACTTTTCGTTGTCACCTCAGCGGGAGGATTCAGCATGTTCCAAATATGCTGCTGAATTGGGGGTAGAGGCTCCCGGGGATGTAAAGCTCTGTGCAGCAGACACTGTTGGAAAAGGTAAGGATTTTAAAACACAGATGGAGACATATATGGCTTCTTTATATTTTCTGATCAAGGATCCTCCATCTTTAGTGTGGGAGGGCTAAGTGATTCATACCACATGTAAAAAATAACAGAGGATTCACCCAGAACCACCTTTCTTGGCAGGATATTGGTCAATACCTAACCAATTGTAAAAACAGGTCCAAACCTAGCAACAGTATCTTCTGCTCTGGACCTCCTGGAAAGGAGCCTCACCTTATAAATCAAAGCTGTTGCTTTTACTACTTGGGGAATATGCAAGATTCCCTAAAATACCTAATTCCAAGACCTGATAATCTGGGATTGTAACTTTCTTGTTATAATCCTTTTATCTCTCTAAATCATGCTGTGCTTTCTCTCACTTAATCTCAGAGAATGCCATGTGGTGGATGAAACAGGTTGCTACAGGGAAGCTGCCCATGCTCAGTGAGTCCCAGAGAGAAGTCTGCGAAAGAGACGAGAATACTAAGTTGTCCCCGAGTGCTGAGTCTGCACTTTTCTCCACAAGTCCATCCATCTTTCTCCTTCCCCACTGCTACCATTCTTGCCCGGGACCCATCACCTCATCCCTGGCCTACCACAGTCACCTTCTAACTGGTCTCCCGGCTTCTCCTTCCACTGTCTGACTGGAGGTGGTACGAGAATGAACTGCTCACTATACCCTAGGGTCCTGTGACGCAGCCCTGCTTGCCTCCTTGATCGAATCGCCGGCCACTTGTTCTCCTCACTCACAATCCCAACAGGCTGGGCTCCTCCTGCTTCGCTCTTACACCAAGCTCATCCCACCTTTGGGGCCTGGACCTAATGCTACCCCTGCCTCCTCTGTCTTTCCCTAAACCTCGAAGGAGTTAGCCCCACCCTCATCCCTTTTTGTTTTAAAAATCATTTTGGTCTTTGCTGATACTATCCCCAAAGAGAGGACTTCCTTGACACTCTATATGAAGTAGCCCCTCCACCCCATCCTACCACCGTAGTCATTTTCTGTAACTTCCCTTATTTTATATTTTTATAGCCTCCATCATTATCTAAAATTATCAATTTTCTAGTTTACTTGTTTATTATCTAACCCTCCTCCTTAGAAGTAGGGCTCTTCTCTTCTTTACTGAATGAATTCTAAGCATCAAAAATATTACCAGGCACATAATAAGCACCTGGCAGATAAGGCCTGTGCCAGGCCTTGGCCTGTCCAGAAAAGGTAATGCTTTAAAAGGAGTATAGAAAGGTAAGCAGTAACATTAGATGTCATTAAAAAACAAAGAAAGAAATGAAACTATCCATTGATTGATGTTTTCCTTCCTTCGATAAAGATTAATTCCAAAATTAAGGTATAACTATTCCCACTTTTAAACAACTTATAAATTTGTAATTCTGAAAAAAACAAACAGAACACCAGGGAGCTGAAGAGCTCCTGTAAATACTACTCCTATCACAAAGTATATGATTTATACTATCCCATGGACTCCTCTCCTACACTGAGGAAAATGTAAGCTGAAAGTTTCTATTCTAAAAAAATAAAAGATGCTTAGGCTTAATAGTAAGTATCATCCAAGAGTCAATGTCCTGTAAGTTTCAAAAACCCTGAGGTAGGAATTAAGTACCAATTTCTTCCAGAAATTTCATGCGCTTCTCCCTGCTCTCTCCCCATTTCAACCACCAACCACAGCTCTTCCTCCTCCATAGTACATATTCATTCCTCTCAGTTTGATGCTTGCTTTATTCTTTCCTAATTACTTGACTTTCCCTTGACCATCAATAACATCAGGCCTATTCAATGTAAAGCAAGATAATCCCAAAATTGTTTAAGCAAATCCAAATGATCCCAAACTCTGTGAATCTACCCGCTCCACCTTCTTATTATGCATAATCCTTTATTCATAGTGCTCTCCCTTGGTTCATTAAAATATCTCAACAGCTTAGAAAGTCCTAAAGATGTAAAGCAGTAATCAAACACCCAACATAGCGGACTACCTCTCATAAACTCCTAAAAGATTCTATCTGTGATATCCAATTGACATGCCTTGGAAAAGGGCTAGAACAACCAATGGACAAGTATCCTACCCAGCCTTCCTACTGAAAAACATTCCAGATTTTCGGCATAAACTCCAGGCAATCTTTTCAGTGTCATCATCCATAAGTCAATAATAAAGGATCTACAAGAGATGTTCTGAAGTACCAACCTCCCTCTCGTATTTTCTGAAAGGTCACATTTTAGGCAAATTAAGCTAAGCGAGATACTTATAAAACTCATTCAGGTAAAAATTCCCAATGCATTAAAAAAATGGGATTATGAGAAAGTGACATTTCTGAATGGCTGGGAAGCTGAAATCACAGTTCTTGACCTATTTATTTCTCTTTTAAACAACTGTTACTCGATGTGATTTTTACAATTTGAAAAAGATTAGAGGAAAAGCCTACAGACCACAGTAGCTCAGAAGTTACTAATATACTGATTTTAGCAACATTGCATGAATTATTTAAAAGGCGGTTTTAACCGTTATATATTTTTAGCATTTCTTCCCAAAATTAGAATCTCTTGATAACAAATTGATTATTAATCTCTCTCTCCTTCTCCAAGCTCATTTACCCTTAGCTGTAGGTATTTCATTCAAAAAGAAAAAAGTAGCCTTCTTGCGTCCCACAACCTCCTACAGATTACTGTGTCCTCTCTTTCTCTCCCTTCATCAGGAAGTCTTTCTCATCTAGGCATTGTAACCTGGCTTGCACACTACTACTCAACTGATTCTGTGTCCCCAAAGTCCTCAAACTGGACTACGAATTCCTAAAGACCCTTTGCTAAGCTCACCTCTACTCGCCACTATGCATCTGACTTGGGATTCTTTCCTCTCCAAGTCTTCTCTTCCTGTGCCTTCCAAGATGCATTTCTCCTAATTTTCTACCTTGCTGATTTTTGTTGGGGGATGGAGGTAGGAGCATTTGGTTTTGTTTTGTAACAGCCCTTTTTTATATGTCTAATTGTTCACTCATATGTTGGGGTTCTCTACTTGGTTCTCTCCTTCTCACCCAACGTGTTCTCCCAGACGATCTGACTCACTTGTCTTTCTGCCTCAATGAGGAGGACTCTCAAATCTGTGTGTTTAGACCTGACTTGCCTTCTGCGCTCTGCAACCGTTTCTAACTTCTCACTGAGCGACTATACCAGGATATCCAATAGATTTTCTCAAATTTAACTCTTGTGAAAACAAATGAATTATCTTTTCCACCTGCTCATTCTGTATTCCTTATCATATTGAATGGTGACATCATCTTTTCAGTCACCCAAGCTAGGATCCTGTTATCTTCAATTCCTCTTTATTTTCCATCAATCACTCAAGTTCTAGCTATACCTTCTAAATGCCTTAAGAATCGATTCTCGTCTCCACTTTCTCCATCACTGCTTTAACTCTTAAGCCTTCAAGTGGGCCACTGAAAATTCTTTAATAATTACCCACTGCTGTAAAATCCAAATGACTGAATGTGGCATATAAGGTACTCACAACCTACCTACAACTTACCTTCTCTGTCACCTTTTCCATCATTTTCCCATACAGAACTTATACTGCAGCCAAAGGGATCCACATTCTAGCTCTTCATATTTTCAAGCTTCTCCACATAATTTATTTTGCATGGCATGCTCTCCTTACAACATGCATCCCCTTTGTTCTTTTAGAACTCTGTCCGAATGCTCATTCCTCAGCAAAGCCTTCCTTAAGTCACCCACTTGCAAAAATCTTTTTCTTCTTATTCTCATGGTGTTTTCCAACCACTGTTTTAACTACTGGTTTTTATCTCTGTACTTTTCTCATTCTTCTAAGAGGGGTCCATAAAAGAAGTAAGCTTGGCTGGGCGCGGTGGCTCATGCCTGTAATCCCAACACTTTGGGAGGCCGAGGTGGATGGATCACGAGGTCAGGAGATCGAGACCATCCTGGCTAACATGGTGAAAACCCGTCTCTACTAAAAAAAAAAAAAAAATTAGCCGGGCATGGTGGCGGGCGCCTGTAATCCCAGCTACTCGGGAGGCTGAGGCAGGAGAATGGTGTGAACCCAGGAGGCAGAGCTTGCAGTGAGCCAAGATCACGCCACTGCACTCCAGCCTGGTTGACAGAGCGAGACTCCGTCTCAAAAAAAAAAAGAAGTAAGCTTATAGGATCTTTAGCATGTGGTCCATTATTAGTACTCAATAAATAAGATTTTTTTAAGTTTATATGTCCTAGTAAAGATACGTCTTTATACAGATAAGCCATATTAAAAGCTCTCCCCCACAAAACAAACTAATAAAAATCAAAGCTTGTACTTGCAGCCACTTTGGAATATAAAAATGCCTGCATTTATGGCCTGTATCTGTCTGTAATTCCAAGAAACATTTATTAAAGATAAATACAAACTACCCTAGATAAGTGTGCAAAATAGTATTAATAGAAGTTTCTCTTTTTCTCCACAGTGAACCATTTTGGGAAGCTTTGAACTGGTCTGCTCCTACCTTTCCTACAAATGGCATAAGGCTTTAGGTCTTCAAGTACACTTGCCAAAAAACACCAAAGGATTTTTATATCTGTAATTTATACTTCATTACACTTAGCATGCTGCAGTACAGATGGTCCCTGGTTTATGATGGTTCAACTTACAATTTTTCTACTTTACAATAGTGTGAAAGCGATACTCATTCAGTAGAACTCAGTAGGACACTTGCAATGCTGGACAGTGATATCAAGCTGCAGCTCCCAAGGGTAGACAACCTCTACAGTGCATTAGGCTGCCAGATGATTGTGCCCAACTGTAGGCTAATGTAAGAGTTCTGAGCACATTTAAAGGTGAGGCTAAGCTATAACAATTGGTAGGTTAGGTGTAGTAAATGCATTTTCAACTTATATTCTCAATTTAGATGGGTTTACAGGTGTGTATCCCCATCATAAATTGAGGGGCATGAGTATTCAGAGTCAAGTCTTCACATGTTAAGCCTCACATTTCTAATTTTAGAACAAAAGATTTTTTTCACTACTTAAAAGAATTAAAAGCATCAAAAAAACAGGCAGTTTCTCTCAAGTAGAGGATCCCTCAAATCAAAAGCCCCAATTCGAACTTAAGTTAGTTACAGATGTTTCATGAAGTGAGTCAAAAGGGAGAATCTGTGGTCTCTCCAGCACACGCCCTGTTACCCCCAAGCTGCAGAAGAGGGCCCTCTACTCCTCTGTGAGCAACAGCTTGCCTAAAACAGCTGCTTATAATCTTTTTTCAGTTTTGTGAGGCTCAGAGAAGCCTATGTCCTGCTCTCATCAACTAAATCCAGGACTGGAATATTCCTTTCTCCTTCAACCATGGTCTAGCCCTCACCTTCCTCAGCATAAGTCAGCTCTCTTGTCAACTTCCCCAGTTTACCTTAATCCAATCTCTGCCTTCCAATTCCTTTGGCCTAAGATTCAGAAGTACATTTTTTATATTTTCTGTATTGTAATTATTCTTCACTATTTTCACAGTATAACCTCTTTATCTGACCCCATGCTCCCTTTAATTATGAACTTTTTGAGAAATGTGGCACTAGAACACGTCTTCTCTAACAATGTTATTAGAGAGTTCACACAAGCTCTCCTACTATTTTGATATAGAAAATGAAGAAAAGTGTTATTTACATACAATACAGGAGAAAACCCTGAAAAAATATAAAAGAGGCATCTGGCGGGGGCAACGGTACACACCTGTAGTCCCATCTACTCAGAAGGCTGAGGTGGCAGGAATGCTTGAGCCCAGGAGTTAAAGACCAGCCTAGGAACCTTTTTCTTTCTTTTTTTTTTTTTTTTAAAGACAGGGTCTCACTCACCTGGAGTACAGGTGCGTGATCTCGGCTCACTCCAACCTCCGCCTCCCAGGTTGAAGCAATTCTCCCACCTCAGCCTCCCGAGTAGCTGGGATTACAGGCGTGTGCTACCATGCCCAGCTAATTTTTGCATTTTTTGGTAGAGACAGGGTTTCACCATGTTAGCCAGGCTGGTCTTGAATTCTGACCTCAAGTGATGCGCCTGCCTCAGCCTCCCAAAGTGCTGGGACTACAGGAGTGAACCACTGCACAACAGCCAAGAACTTGTCTTTACAAAAATTTTTAAAAATTAGCCGGGCATGATGGCATGTGCCTGCAATCCCAGCTGTTCAGGAGACTGAGGCGGGAAGAGTGCTTGAGCAAAGGAGTTTGAGGCTACAGTGAGCTATGATCACAACACTGCATTCCAGCATGGGCAATCGGCCTTCCTGTATTTTTTGTTTGTTTAAGTAACCTTCTTCCAGAAAAAAGAAAAGAAAGAAAACATTCTAACTTTATTTTTCTTTTTAAGAGCTCAGAATATTTTTACCTTTTGAAGTAAGAGAGAAAGATGTTATTCTTCCATTAAATAGAGCAAATGGGGCCTTTAGAGAATAAAGACATTTATTTAGGACTGGCCAATGATCGTAACTTTGCACTGAGTTCTCTTTCATTTAAAAGAAGTAAGACTTGTTCATTCTTCCTCTCTCACCTGAAATAGTCTCTGAAATCGAGGATTTGGGATTTTGGTGGTTGGAAACAAGTCTTCAAGGGTGTCTGTCTTCTCATCTTTCTTTGCCAAGCTCATGGAGTCAATCAAAGCATCAACAGCATTCAACTGTGCCTCTTAAAGATAGAGAAGCAGAAAGAAAAATGGTTATTTTCATTATTCTCCATGAAAACAAATGCTTTCTATGTAGAGCTATCCACAGCAATATTGGCAGGTTATACAGTCCTGGCCCTGCCAAAGTATTCTCTAGCTATGCACGTATTTAACCCAAGTCTTGGTTTTCTTATCCATGAAAAGATCAATTTAGAGTGATGGATTGATTAGGTTCCAGTTCTACCACTCAGTGAGCCTTTGACAACGGAGTATCAGATCAAAAGCAAGAGTGTGTGTTTCAGAGGAATACAGCCATATAAAAACCAATCCCTATATGGAGATTGGAACAAAATATTTAGTATCCATTGACCTAATATTTTAAAAACTAGTAATTAGCTAAAGAAGAAAAACATTAAAAAGAAAAAATCTCTCTGGTAATGAAGTATTTTAAGGACTTTAATATAACTTTTATCAGAGTACAGTGTCTTAACAGGAAGATACCACTGGATCAGGGTGGGCTGATTCCTTCACAATCCACCAAGGCAGAATAAGCTCTCTTCTCTCTCAATGCCTCCATGAAACTAATCACACCTGAGTACATGTCTTATTCTACTCCATTCAAACTCTCAGGCTCCATGAGAGCAGAAATATGACATCCTCTTTCCTTAGATCTCTCCTAATACTAATAGAAAATAAGTGCTCCTCAATAAAAATCTACTCAGTCAATATAAATGGCACAGCCCAAAGCAATATGGATGAAAGGCAATGCTCCCAAAGATACTTCTGCCTAAACTACCGTGTATAACTTTGATTTTGCTGATTTATACAGCAGTTCAGCTGTTGAACCTGTGGCACTATTTCTGGAACATCCAGTCACCAGGCAAAAGGTGGAAGAGAGTAAGCAGTTTCTAAAAAGTACATTATACTTCTATTCTGCACCTTTTCAAATATCCCTTTTGTACAGCTACAACAAAATAAAAGAGCATACAGATATTTATATTTCTTTTCTACCTGTTTATGGACTTTTCAGGGTAGGTTTCAGGCAATGGCACAGCCAACACCATCTTGAACTTGCTAATTCAAGGCCCTCCCAGCAACAGGTAGGAGGCAGTACTTGTACATGTGAACATTCAGTGATTTTTCACCTACTACTATAAGGTAGTAGGAGGCCAGATCATCCTGACATTGCATCCCTACATAGACATCTACTGGGAAATACACGAAATAACTTTAATGGTCCATTTTTCCAATGGAGAAAATGTAAACAAATGCTAACTGACAGAAAATAGATAACAGAAGATATTTAATGTTTTAGATCCTGAGTGATTTATGTCAACAAAATAAACTATTAACAAAGTGGGTTTTTAAAAACATTCTGGGCTGGAAGTGATGGCTCATGCCCATAATTCCAACACTTTGGGAGGCTGAGATGTGAGGACTGTTTGAGCCCAGGAGTTTAAGACCAGTCTTGACAACATAGTGAGATTCCATCTCTACAAACAATTTTAAAAATCAGCCAGCCATGGTGGCGTGTACCTGTAGTCCCAATTACTTGAGAGGCCGAGGAGGGAGGATTGCTTGAGCCAAAACTGGCTGTGTCCCCACCCAAATCTCAATTTGAATTGTATCTCCCAGAATTCCCACATGTTGTGGGAGAGACCCAGGAGAGGTAAACAAATCAGAGGGGCTGGTCTTTCTCGTGCTATTCTCATGATAGTGAATAAGTCTCTAGATTTATTCACTTCAGATCTGATGGGTTTATCAGGGGTTTCTACTTTTGCTTCTTCCTCATTTTCTTTTGCCACCACATGTAAGAAGTGCCTTTCGCCTCCCGCCAAGATTCTGAGGCCTCCCCAGCCTCTTTTTCTTCCCAGTCTCGGGTATGCCTTTATCAGCAGAGTGAAAACAAACTAATACACAGAGAGTCTGAGCTATGATCATGCCACTGCCCTGCATCCAGGTGACAGAGTGAGACCCTGTATCAAATAAGTAATTAAATTAAATATTCTACTCATTTAAGTTTTGGAATTATCAAGAAGTAGAGACAGAGTAATACTGTAACACAGTGGCAACTTCCATACAATCAGGTCCATGCCTGCCTCCACTGTGATGCAGACAGACTCATTTGTAGAAGGAAGGTAAAGATACAGGCCCTAGGGAACCAACTGATTCTTGGCCTGTTGAGCACACTACTTCCAAAGGGTCTAGCCAAAATAACAGAAAGAATTGAGTTCCGAGACCCACCTCACAATTCCCTAATCCTGCACTGACACAGACAGTATATTTAAACTTGTAAACTAAAACATCTACGCATCATTTGTTGTTCTTTTTGGTATGTTTTCTACTTCTGCCCCCTATTATATTTTATTACAATTGTTTTAAATGACAGACTCTCTGAAAGACTGGACCTGTGGCTGTAAGAATCATTCTGTATAGGACCCTGTCATTTGCAGCCAGATGCTCAATAAGGGCCTTTCATACCAAATCTGAAGTAACTCCTAAAAGCCAGAAATAAGTAACAATGAGACTTGGACTGTTGGTGCAAACTACAAAAAAAGGAGCAAAGAGGAAAGTTAATCTTCAGCACTGTCACTTTTCATCTCAAAGCTACATCAGACTTTACATAGAACACTAAAATCACAGGTCTGATACTACTCAGATTCACTTCAGCAGGGGCAAACTCTGCTCACAACTAGAGATGGACATCTATTACCATCAAGTTTTCCCCTAGGTACATGCTCCAAGGCAAAAACTGAACAGTGTTGGATGAGTTTAGGGCAAACCTATTTCTACTAGTGGAAAAACACCAAGTAAACCACCTTCATCATTATTGTGTGTATGATTGGAAATCCAACTAATTGAACCCTGTAAATACCTGGCCCCAACCAAAAACTAGCAGACAGGTGATTTCCCAAGAACAGTGTGTGTAGAGTAAATGAGTGATCTAAATGAAAACAAACTCACCAGTGGGAGCATATTTCTTACTGTTTTTCAAGGATGAAAACATGTATTGCCGCAAGTCTTCCATGAAGGGCAGCTGCACATACACTAGACACTAATGAGAAAGAAAGGGGGTAAATGCAGAAATGATCAAAGTAATGAAAAAATATAAAACTGATCCCAAATTCTGTGAAAGTAGCATAACAGAAATATTTCAAACATCAGACAGCCCAATTCTGGCACACGAAAATTGAAGGGTTTTGACTTCTGCTATTGGTTGTTCACAACTGCAAACAGTATAAAGAATATTAAACATAAGAGAAACGCATAAAAGAAAGACTACTACAGGACTGCTATAAATTGCATGACCAATACAACAAATGAGAAGATTGGGGTGCAGAAGGTTGACCTGGATGTCAAGACATGTGCCTTCTCTTTCCATTTCTGCCACAGTAAATTCTCTGAGACAGAGGAAACGATAAGGAATTTAGAACTGTATTTTACACAAGAGAGCCCTAAATAAACTGTATCACAAGGATCACAACAAAATGACATCCTCAACCTGTATTCATAGTTCTCATTTGTAAAAATGGAGGTAATTTCTCTTTCTATTTGGTTCCAATAAGTCAAGAAGGATGAGAACCAAGAAAAGGCCATGGTGAACCTTTATGGATTAGATTCTTTTAATCTAAAAAGATTTTCATAATACTTAGTAAAGAGATTCTTATAATACTTTATAATTAAAAGACTCTTATATTATTTTTATAATGTATACTTTTTCCTCCAACTGAAAGTGTGGTTCACAAACCAGTATCAGCATTTTTTGAGAGAAATGGAGAATCGGTGCCCTGCCCCAGAACTACAGAATCAGGATCTGCATTTTAATAAGACCCCCAAGTAATTACCATGAACAATAGCAGCTGAGAAACACTGCTTAGACTAAAGGAACTGAAGGAAGAAAAAAAAGCATTAAGACTTTGGGTTTTACCTCATAGTTATGCTTGATATGAGGAAAAGCCACACCGACTTGAGGATTAGCTCTTTTGTCATAAGCATATCGAACTATGGCCACCATGTCTAAATCATCCAAAGCATGAATCAGGGAGGAAAGTGCAACCGCTGCTGCCTGGTAAGAAAGATGGAAGTATTAACACATATTCAACATGTGAGAGTTTTCACAACAGAACTAAATACTTTATGACTGTTATCGCTTTCTTTCCATTTTATATTTTTTAGGTGCCCCCTTACTTTAAGGACGAACCGCACACATTTGCTTTTGATTACATTTACTGCAGCTCTTCTGGGGCTAACCTCATTAACTAAATCCTGTCTTACTTCTCCAACCTTCCTTCTCTAAATTTATCTTTACCCTAAAAATAAATTCGTCTCAGCCCTCCTAAACAAAATCTTTTGTCCCTCCCACTCCATAAATTGCTATCAGTATCTTTCCTGTCTTTACCTCTAAATTTCATAATAGGCACGCTGTTTCCACTGCTTAGTGCATAACTATTCTTCAGTCTAGTCCAGTTACTGCCCCACTTCCTTACTAAAATTATCCTCTGAAGTCACCCATCACCTCCTAATTGCCAACTCCTTGGTTCCTGATTTTTTTGTTTGACAGTAGCATCTCACCATTCCGCTGTCTCTATACTTTCTCCTTCCTTGGCTTCAGAAACAGCATCCTCCCGATTGTTCTCTCTTCCCCAATTTGTAAATTCTACTTTAGGCCTTTCTCTCTTCCTCTCACTCTAAAACTCTACTTGGGGATTATTTCATCCAGTCCCATGAGTTGATGAATCAAAAATCTGTACATTCTTTTTTTTTTTTTTTTTGAGACAGAGTTTCACTCTTGCTGCCCAGGCTGGAGTGCAATGGTGCGATCTTGGCTCACCGCAACCTCCGCCTCCCAGGTTCAAGCGATTTTCCTGCCTCAGCCTCCCAAGTAGCTGGGATTACAGGTATCCACCACCACACCTGGCTAATTTTTTATTTTCTGTAGAGACAGGGTTTCTCCATTTTGGTCAGGTTGGTCTTGAACTCCTGACCTCAGGTGATCTGCCCGCCTTGGCCTCCCAAAGTGCTGGGATTACAGGCATGAGCCACCGTGCCAGACCTGTACATTCATTTTTAAAATTCTCCTAAGATCTAGACTTAGATTGCCTACTAGCTGGTGGATATTTCACACGGCATACTCAGTTATCTCAAACTGTTCCGTACGAATGGTTCACATTCACCACGACAAGACTAAAACCTAAACTTACTATGTTTCCCCCTCAATCTCCTCCTGGATTCCCTATTTTCATTAACATCATTACCTAGTCAACCAAACTGGAAACCCCAGTCTTTGATAATGCCACCACACCATTCTCATCTTTCACTTTTTTGAGATAGCCTCACTCTGTACCCCAGGCTGGAGCGCAGTGGCACTATCTCGGCTCACTGCAGCTTCTGTGTCCCGTGTTCAAGCAATTTTTGTGCCTCAGCCTCCTAAGTAGCTGGAATTACAGGTGCGCACCACCATGCCCAGCTCTGTATGTTTAGTAGAGATGACGTTTTGCTATGTTGCCCAGACTGATCTCGAACTCCTGACCTCAAGTGATCCACCTGCCTCGGCCCCTCAAAGTGCTGGGCTTCATCCCTCACCTTTGAAGTGTTCACGAAACTCTACCAATTCTACGTCTACACTGTCTCTCAAATCCATCTCTTTCCTCACAGCCTGCTCTGTTCACAGAGTTCATCACGTCACTCCCTTCCAGTGGTTCCTCTATTCTGGCCTTACTGAGCTATCACCGATTGGGGGCAGGTCTCATACTTGGCCTCTGCTCATACCATTTCCTGCTAGTTAGAATGCCCCCTTACAAATCTCTGGCTATCCAGCTTCTAATCTTTTCTCAAGGCTTAGTAAATTGATACCTTCTCTATTCCAGATTTACCTTAGTCAGCTCTCTCTCTCTCTCTGTAGAACTACCCAAACACTATGTACTTTTCTCACTATCATGGTTAACCTTATCAAAGTTAAAAACCTATGACCTCTCAGCCATGCTGTTGTAAAAACAAAACGAACGAACAAAAAACCTATGACCCCAAGACCTGGCCATTAGAATCCTTACAAATTTCATAATAGAATCATTACTTTTTCAGTTCAGTTCAAAGGCTATTTTACTCAGTGCCTGTTCTTTGCCAGGCACTGTCTTGAGCCCTGTGAAAAAACAAAGATGAGTCCCTGACCTCACTTAACTAATACATTCTTTACTAGCAGAAATGAGCTATGTAGGTATGTAGCAAATATGGAACATGTATGTTCTAATAGTTAAGTCCCATAAGAAAGGGCTAGATAAACACAATGAGAATCTGAGGAAGAGATTACTTTCAATTTGTTTGAAGTTTTTTTATTTATATGTCTTTGATAACACCAATTAGGATGTTTAAAAGAAGGAAGGGGCCAGGCATGGTGGCTCACGCCTGTAATCCCAACACTTTGGGAGGCCGAGGGGGGCGGATCGCCTGAGGTCAGGAGTTCAAGACCAGCTTGGCCAACATGGTGAAACCCCGTCTCTACTAAAAATACAAAAAGTAGCCGGGCGTGGTGGCAGGCGTCTGTAATCCCAGCTACTTGGGAGGCTGAGGCAGGAGAATCACTTGAACTCGGGAGGCAGAGGTTACAGTGAGCCGAGATCACACCACTGCATTCCAGCCTGGACTACAAAGAGCCAAACTCCGTATCAGAAAAAAAAAAAAAAGGAAGGATGGGGTTGTGAATGACTGCTACATGGTAAGACAGTATTACACCTGTGTATAACTCAACTAAAGCTCCATTTCCTTCCTTTCTTTCCCCCCTTGTTTTCTACACACAGTGCAAATCAGCACATAAAAGTATAGATTCTCAATACAAAAAATTATATGCTAATGACCAGAGAAAACTGTAAGAGGGAATTATCCAAAGAATCAGAATTATCCAAAGAATATTTGAGCTAAAAAACAACAGTATTGATCTAGTTTAACAACCCACATGTACATCTGACTGGGGGTGATAAAGACTTTTCTTGTAAACTTATAGAAATGGGGATGTGACCATCTTACAAGAAAACAATCCAGTGAGAACAGTAATTCTTGTTGACAAAATAGTTCTTCATCTTGAACAAAAACCATTACCTGCTGTTTCCAGTTCACCCCTCTAATATGAAGCAGAGTTTAATTTCTATTCTACAGGATAATTCTCCAAATGCATGAAGAGTGCTATTATGTCTGTCATCCCTCCTACACTTGCCTACCTACACAAGTCTCCTCCAGGCAATTTTTTTTTTTAACTGGAAGTCCTCATATGACATTGTTTCCTTACTCCCTTGCTTATCTCATAAGCTCCAATTAGATATTCTCATTTTTTGACTACATCAAAAACTGACACTAGACAGTATCCCTTTGCCATTAGGAGATAAATTTTTTTTTCTTGAGTTACCTCAAAGTGATCCTATGATATACAGAAATTAGTGTCTGTATAAGGCCAGATTCGAATTATGCAATCCACAAGGCTGCCCTTAGCTAGCAAGTCTACATAATTACCCAACATGTGTGTCTCAACACAGCTTTGTGATTCCTCACTGCATACCCAGCAAGTCTCATGAAGTGATCAGAATGTTCTCTGTGTAATGAGACAGTAAGTGGAAGTTAAAACTTTAGCAGAAGCCAGGAATGGTGGCACACACCTATAGTCCCAGCTATCTGGGAAACAGAGGCAGGAGAATCACTTGAGCCCAGGGGGTTCCAGGCCAGCCTGGGAAACATAGTGAGACCTTGTCTCTTAAAAAAACAAAACAAAATAAAACTTCAGCTAAGTTGTGGTTTGACAGTATATACCAGACTTCCATGATTCCCAACAGGATTTCACTCAAGAGAAATCCATGAGCTAGATTCTCAAACTTGAAGATTCATGTATGCTAATATCTGCTCTAATAATTCATTCAGAATAGCGTAGAAGCCAAACATTTTCTTCCCTTAACTGTTCTGAGATAATAATGGCATAGTCATTCACTACATCAGCAACCAGCTACCTTCCAGAAGTGAGGAGAAAAAGAGAACTATACTAGTTATACCACCACCCTACCCCCACCTCAAACAAAAAATGTGTTTCTACATCCAGTTTATTAATTGCAAATGTAAATACTTCAGGATCTTGGAAACCTGCTTAAGTTGCCTTAAACAGATAGTAGACTGCAAACTTCCAGTTAAAATCAACATCTCCAACAAAGTTAGTTCTAACTTGGAGATCAAATAGAAAATATTTACAAAAAGGGCAGATGTGAGTGCAGAATGCAGCAGTCATGGGCTGTTAGCGAGAGCAAAACCAGCCTAAAAACAAAGTATCTTGGGGAGGCAGGAAAAGAGCGCTGAGAGAGGAATAGAGAAAAGACACATTTCCTCAATGATGAAAGCAGTCTAGTGAGTCACTGAAGTGCACATCCAGGATGCTTATGACAACACAAAATGTCAACCCTCCTTAACAATTGACTGTGAAATTCACATACTTAAATGCAGTTGTTCAAAAATGTTTTTAATACTTCCTTGGTCTCCATGTCCTTGGGTCTTGTGCCCATGCTAACACAAATTCATTTACCATATCTCCATTTTCAGTTAAAGATTAGTGGATTTTCCCACTCCTATTGCAAGAATTCATGTCATTTTAAACTATAAAAGCCCCAAACAACTCGCTTTCACAGACTTACAATTCAATTCTGTAGCACTACCTCAAAGACGTGCTGCCAACTCACCTCATCATCTCTTGCTGCAAAGACCTTTAGAACTTGATTTCCCATGAAGAATCTTCTCTGAACCTACAAGAGAGGAAAAGAATTGGTTTTGATCCAAAATAAGTAACATGTATAACTGTAATGCCACACATTGCTAAGAAATTCCATTCAAAATCCTCTTACTGAAAAACATTCAGATACTAAAAACATCTTATTACGTGAATTTTAATTCAATTCAACACAACAAGTATCTGAGCATCTAGCACACGTCCAACATTGAGTACTATAAACACAACAGTGAACAGAATATAATCTTGCCCTTGAGGAGCTTCGATAGATAAATATGAAATTAACTGCAGTGCAGTATTACAGTCCAGGTTACATGGTGCTATAAGAGCACATAAGGAGGGCAATAAGCCTGGTCATGAGGGATTAGGGAAGGTTTCTGCAAATGGTGACACCTAAGTTGAGATTTAAAAGGACAAAGAGGAACTAAGAGAAAAGTCTGGGCACAAGCGTTCCAGAGAAAACAGTAAGAATCGAAGTCTGGAGTGCTGTAAAAGCATGGTACATTTGGAGAATAGCTCTTGGAGTAGTATAGTGCCACTGTGTGAGGGAAAAGGTGAAAAATTAGATCAGAGAGATTAGCATAGATCAGACGATGAAGTCTAAGAACAAAGCTAAGTGGTTTGCATTTCCTAAGAGTAGCAATGAGGCACTGATGAACAGTAGAGGCCTGAATGAAGAATTAGAGGGGAAGGGCTGAAAGAGAAATTAAATCGAAAATGAGTACTGCATGCCTCTCCCCCCACCCGCTTAAATTCAATTAACTTATCTAGCACAGTATCAAGAGGGGTCAAGACAGCTCTACTAATATCAGATTAGAAAATGAGTATTGAAGAGTTCTGAAAATCATAACCACTTGCACTTATCTATCAAGATGAACTTTGTCTCATCTATGAAATCTAGAGCCTGGGGTTTATTTTAAAGAACATGCCATGTGCTGTATTGGGCAATGTTTCTCACGTATTTGTTATGCCCTCTCACCTCTAGAGTTGAGACATTATGAGCACTTTCACCATAATACCAGCTCAAGAAGACTGAGTCTCAAAGGGATGAGGATTAGGCCCATATAATTCAAATACCCCTCATCTCCACTTCCATTCCCCATTCAAAAACCATCCTATATTTTTAGTGTACTATGCTCATATAGATTTACTTAATGGCTGTGAACCTCAATTTCCTAATGTATAAAAAACATACCACAGCAACATCAACCCCCAGACTACATTTCAGAAAGATTAAAAGTGAAACAAGGCCGGGCACAGTGGCTCACGCCTATAATCCCAGCACTTTGGGAGGTTGAGTTGGGCGGATCACCTGAGGTCAGGAGTTCGAGACTAGCCTGATCAACATGAAGAAACCCATCTCTATTAAAAATACAAAATTAGCCAGGCGTGGTAGCACACGCCTGTAATCCCAGCTACTTGGGAGGCTGAGGCAGGAAAATCGCTTAAACCTGGGAGGCGGAGGTTGTGGTGAGCTGAGATCATGCCATTGCACTCCAGCCTGGGCAACAAGAGCGAAACTCCATCTCAAAAAGAATAAATAAATAAAATAAGTGAAATAAATATACCTTACAAACAAAATGACCAATCAAAAGCACACCATTTCAAGTAACAGCTAGGAAAAAGCTCATTCATTTTGTTCACAACTGTACCTGAGAAGATTTACAAAATCCCAAAACAGAGAAGCACTTCCCCTCCGATTTATATTTCATTTGTTCCTCATCCACTTTAGAGAAAGGAACTATATCACTTCCATAGCGGAACCCTGGAGAAAAAGGGAAGAGCATCTGTTAAGCATATGGGGCCTCATTTTCTACAAGCTGAAATTAGCTCTATGCATACATTAACAATACACGCACACGCCAGAACAAGCCTCCATCTTCTATTCCCTGAAATCAGATTACTGCCCCTTGTGATCAATGGTGAAAAAGCAGCAGCAGATACACAAACCACATATACAATATAGAGACAATTAAAATCTAATTACATTTTTTAAAGTAGCGTATTTTGCAATCTAGTTACCTTAATGATTACCCAGCCTAAAAGAAAAAATCTGGCAAACGTAACATACCAGTTATCCTCCAAAGATAAACTATGGTTGACTGAAGTACAGCATGACTTGTAAACATAAGGACACATTATTCAGAAACCTAGAGACCTACCGAGAAAAATGCCAACAGGAAATTTTCAGAACAAAATGTTCTCAAAAACGCATGCTGGAGATATGCAATGCCTGACAGAAGCTAAAACTCTTCTGTCTGGAAATATCTAATTGATAAGTTGTATACTTTTCTATATTTAAATTTATTTTATTTCTGGGATTTAATTGTATCTTTTTCTTTTTAATTGCATAGGATATTTACATAAATATAGGCTCTTGGCTTCTTGAAAAAAAAAGTTCAACCCTGTTCTGTAGCCTGTATTCTATGGAAAATCACGCCCTTTCAATACACAGTATATGTTTTGTGGGATGAAGGAGCATCAAAATCCAAGGATTCTGGCCTTGGATAAATGCAAAGGAAAAGCACATGCATCTTTACTCCAAGACACAATAAAACTTTCATATCCAGGGACAGATTCTGTGATCTAGTGTTAGTCTGTTGATGACATCTATTTTATTAAAAAGAAACACATTTTTAGGCTGGGCACGGTGGCTCACACCTGTAATCCCAGCACTTTGGGAGGCCAAGGCAGGTGGATCACAAGGTCAGGAGATCGAGACCATCCTGGCTAACACAGTGAAACTCTGTCTCTACTAAAAATCCAAAAAAAATTAGCCAGACATGGTGGCACGCGCCTGTTGTCCCAGCTACTCAGGAGGTTGAGGCAGGGGAATCGCTTGAACCCCGGAGGTGGAGGTTGCAGTGAGCTGAGATCGCACCACTGCACTCCAGCTTGGGTGACAGAGCAAGACTCCATCTCAAAAAAGAAACACATTTTTATTTCCATTTATGTCTTTTTTAAAAAGCTAATGACAAAACCAAAAATTCCAACAAAAATTAACAGGGAAACGTATGGCACATGATTAAGACTGGTACCTAAACCAAATGTTTGTCTTAACTTATCTCTGTCATCAGTCATCTTCTTGCTTGAATCGTGTGAATCATGTAACTTGTAACGAACATTCTAACTAAAACTGTTCTGTATTTTCTTGTTCATTTACTTAAAGGGCATATAACTACAACTTTTGTACATTGCATACTTACAACAGACTACAACATTTAACCATATTCCTTTGCACACATGTGTATACTGGTACCTTAGCTCAAGAAAAAAAAAAAAAAAAAACACACACACACACACAAAACCGCTAGCTGATTAGGGGCTGGAAATTGGAGGATAGACAAAGGAAGTAAGCTGGTAACCATGAAAAGGTACAGGAGAAAAGATTCACTTCTACCCTCTTTGAATCCAAGCAGTTTTTAACTCTTCCCTCTCCATTGCCCCAGCAATAAATTTCCTTTTTGCCTAAGATAACCAGGGATGCCTTCTTTGCTAACAACCAAAAGAACTGGCATTCATCCTCATCGCTAGGTCCTTCTTCCAATCCACCCTACAACCAGTTGTCATATTAATCTTCCTAAAACATAGCCCCAATGGTTCCTCAAAACCGTAAGTGGCTCCACGTTGTTTTCAAGGTTATGCATAAACTCTTAGCCTATTATCCAAAGCCCTTCATTACTCAGTCCAAATTCAGAATAGTATGCAGTCACAGACTCTGAAGCAGTACAGGACTAGATCCAAGTCCTGCTAGTTGAGAGCTGTGTGGCTTTGAATATGTGAATGAGTGTCTTTCAGCCTCAGTTCCCTTATCTATAAAATGGAAATAACAAAGAATGCCTGCTTTATAAGATGGTCGTTGATGATTAAAAGAAAATGCAGGCTGTCCATTAGATGCTACCGCAAGTACTAACCTGTACGTGCTCAATACACCAACCCAACTTAGTATCTCTGAGAAGTCCCTCTACTTTCCTGGTCTTGTGCCTTTAATCATGCTATTCTTCCTACTATGAGCCAGTCATTATACTAGGATCAAATGATTAACCAATGATGGAACCATGATTCTAACCCAGGTTTGATTCCAAAATTCATGTTCTATGCTACAGAACTGAACTCAATAATTAGTAGAAATTGTAGGGTATTAATTACATTCTATACATAATCCATCAGAAGAAAGGAAGGAATCATAATCACCACCACCTTTAAACAACCCCCTCCTCCAACACACACAAACATACACAGTAAGATGAAATACAGTGTCACAGAGGAAAAGAATTCTTTCCAAGACTTGCAAATCAAAACTATACTGGGTAGTGAATAGCCTGGCAAAACATTTATTTAAGGACTCTGGTTTCTATCTTAACCATCATTTGGTATCTTAATAATTTTAGGTCTTGAACATACAGATATCTTCAGCTAGTTTCTAAGTCCTCTGGATAAAGATGCCATCTAGACACACTATTCAATCTAAATGGGTATAGTAAAGGAGTACAATTTTTTTAAAAATACTATTTAATATGAAGTAATATAATAAATGCAAATAATTTTCAGCCCCTAAATTAAGGAAGCATATCTGGTAGGATATAAAACCTGAAGTTGGCACTTAGAAAAATAATCACCATGAAAGTCAAAAATAAAATAAAAAAACCTTAGTTCAGCCATATTAAACATTCTCCTAGCTAGTGCGTTTCAAACTTTAAAATAAAGCCAAGTATTACCACTTAAGACATTTAAAACTCAGAGATGGAACACCCAAGCGTAATCCTGAGAACCAACCTGCCTAAGACCCAACAAATGAGCTAAAGGACCTAGGGTCTCATTATCCTTTCAAACTGTTGTATCTCTATAACTCAAAGACGTAACTTTAAACAAATAATAATACAAACCCCAGCCGGCATCGTATCACGTTAAATAAAATGTCTTTTAGGCAACAGTGAAAACTCTTTCTTACTGACATACCTTGAATAATATCCTCTTTTAAAACTTCAGTTTCATCATCATCATTTAAGCAATAAACTGTTTCTTTTTGAATATCTTCTTTTTTCAGGGTTTTTGCATCCACAACTGTCCAAGTCTTTTTAACTCTCTCCTGTAGAATCTTAAGTTCCAAAACACAAAGAGAAAACAAGGAAAGTTGGGATTCCGATTGATAGAAGATGAAAAACCTAATACACCCTCTGATACAGACAAAAATCCAGAACAATTACTCTAGCTACATTATTTTGTTTGCTCATGCCTATTATGAAATTTTTAGTTTATTTCATAACAAAATATACTGGATAACTTTCTCCATATTTCATTTTCTCCCAAAGGTAATCCACAAATATTTACGTTCACACTTTCTATACAAAACCTCACACTGTCTAATATTTTTATTTATTTTATTATTATTATTTTTTGAAGGCCGGGCGCGGTGGCTCAAGCCTGTAATCCCAGCACTTTGGAAGGCCGAGACGGGCGGATCACGAGGTCAGGAGATCGAGACCATCATGGCTAACACGGTGAAACCCCGTCTCTACTAAAAAATACAAAAAACTAGCCGGGCGAGGTGGCGGGCGCCTGTAGTCCCAGCTACTCAGGAGGCTGAGGCAGGAGAATGGCGTAAACCCAGAAGGCGGAGCTTGCAGTGAGCTGAGATCCGGCCACTGCACTCCAGCCTGGGCGACAGAGCAAAACTCTGTCTCAAAAAAAAAAAAAAAAAAAAAAAAAAAAAAAATATATTTTTTGAGATAGAGTCTCGCTCTGTCGCCCAGGCTGGAGTGCAATGGCACAATCTCAGCTCACTGCAAGCTCCACCTCCTGGGTTCACGACATTCTCCTGCCTCAGCCACCAGAGTAGCTGGGACTACAGGTGCCCACCACCATGCCTGGGTAATTTTTTGTATTTTTAGTAGAGACGGGGTTTCACCGTGTTAGCCAGCATGGTCTCAACCTCCTGACCTCATGATCCGCCCACCTCAGCCTCCCAAAGTGCTGGGATTACAGGCATGAGCCACCACGCCCGGCCTATTTATTTAACTTTTATTTTTTGAGACAGAGTCTTGCTCTATCGCTCAGGTTGGAGTGCAGGTTGGTGTGATCTTGGCTCGCTGCAACCTCCGCCTCCCGGGATTAAGCGATACTCATGCCTCAGAAACCCAAGTAGCTTGGACTACAGATACACATCACCATGCCTGACTATTTTTGTATTTTTAGTAGAGACAGGGTTTTGCCATGTTGACCAGGCTGGTTTCAAACTCCTGGCCTAAAGTGATCTACCCACCTCAGCCTCTGAAAGTGCTGGGATTACAGGGATCAGCCACTGCACCCAGGCAGACTGTCTAATAAAAAGAGGACTATATATTTTATCATAGTTTTCAATAGAAAAAAAAAAAGCAATATATCTGTGTCAGAAATCAACAAAGAAATTTGAAAAGGAGCCCAAAATAAGAAAGGGGGGAGACTGTATTCACATTCCTAGGGACACTATTCTAGGCTTTGATGGAAGCTGAAATAAAGAACTACCCCAAGGTTCTCAAGGATATAGCATGTATTTTGGAATTAAGCTCTTTAATACAAAGAAAAAAACTGAATACATAAAAACATGTTTTTGTATATTTATGTCTAAAATGTTCCTCTGCATTTTGAACACTTAAAGGGAAAAGGCAAGGAGGCTCATATGGAGGCACCAATCAGATTCCTACTCAAACTAGAATTTCATCAAATAATCACCAAAAGCAATTCATTTTTTAAAGTGTGCTATTGTAAATAAATGTACATATATTATAAAATGCAATTTTACAGTAACAAAACTTTTTTTACATTTCACAGATGTTATTACTGCCAGATCATTCATAACTAAATTAGGTGTGACTGAAGCTCTAAAACTGAACTGAACTTTGGTGCATAATCTACATTTCTGCTATGATACTACAATAACACAGCTTAATGCATTTCACTTTCTTTCTTTTCAAAGAAAGAGAGACGCCTAGAACTTACGATTAATAATCAATTACCAAAGGAGAGAAACTAAAAGAAGAGGGAATCAAACTCTATTATAGGCAATTTTTTAAACTTCCTCTCCTAGCTTGCCTTTTACATAAAAAGCTAAACACAAGAGATTAAATGAGCAGGGAGAACAACTAGAAAAGCAGCAATTATAGTTCCGAGTAATACACACACGAATTGTCTGTTCCTTATATACACATATTTATCTGCCTGCTAACATTTCTGTTAAAAATGTGTACCTGCCACTTACCGATTTATAGGCTGCAATCCTTATAGACAAATTGGAGCCAATGGTCAGTCGGCAGGGCCAGTGAATGGAATGCCTCTCAATTTTCTTGAAGACACACAGTTTTCTCAGACTCTCACTTAATAAAGAAAAATATAAAATGAAAGCAACAATTTTTAAATGTTACCTTGTTCTGGATGATGCATTTGATTTTCTAGAATGAGAAGTGAGCTGTTGTTAATTATAAAGAGAGAAACAGCAAGGGATGGCAGGAAAACAACAACCACAAGTTGGGAGATAGCCAGGGCATGAATGAGTTGGCTTAGAAGGAAAGAGGAGCTACATTACTAACAGGTGAAAATGAACAGCTCTATCTTCCCCTTATTCAGTATTTTCTTTCAACTTTGCCAGAGGTTCTTAACATTTTTTCAGGACCAAGGACATCTTTGAGTATGTGATGAAAGCACATTCATGAATGAGTCTGCACACAATATAAAGGGTTCACCACCAACTCCCTGAAAACCAAGGACCTGAGAATAAGAACCTCTGCTCAGGCCTGGCATGGTGACTTACGCCTGTAATTCCAGCACTTTGGGAGGCCAAGGCAGGCAGATCACCTGAGGTCAGGAGCTCAAGACTAGACTGAGCACCATGGAGAAGAAACCCCATCTCTACTAAAAATACAAAATTAGCCAGGTGTGGCGGCACATGTCTATAATCCCAGCTACTCGTGGAGGCTGAGGTAGGAGAATCACTTGAACCTGGGAGGCGGAGGTTGCGGTGAGCTGAGATCATGCCATCGCACTCCAGCCTGGGCAACAAGAATGAAACTTGTCTCAAAAAAAAAAAAAAGGAAAAAAAAAAGAACCTCTGCTCTAGAATATCCAAGGGAGGGCACCATCCTATAATTATCATCACTGTTTACAACTCTATAATTCATTAATTCCAATTCTGAATATTAAAGATACATGTTTTTATATGTATATAATAGGGAGAGTTAAAGACTCTCCAAGGAATAAAGGAATTTAGTTCACATTTAGTCTTAAGGTAAAACAGGTTAACTCTAGGTTTCTTACTGGTGGGAAAGGCTGGGAGAGGTGTAAACAGTGTTGTGGAGTGCTGCTTCATTTAAACAAAAGTGAAGATCAATCATATTTTCATCTGGCCCCTAGTCAAACACGACAGGGAAGACGACAGCACATAGGTGGAATTTGTGGTATTCACTAAAATCAGCAGCAAAGGAATTAATGACAAAATACACTCAAAGCATACAGTCCAGACTTTCTGGCTGAACTCCTTGGTATAGATAAAAAAACAGATCTACAAAGTGGTAAAGAGTATTATTTTACATTATCCACAGGGTTATGGACAGAGAGGTCTCAAGAGACTCCAATTTTCAGAAATAATTTACAATGAATAATAGATATCTTACCTGACACCCAGCTTCCAAAGCCTATGGTGCACAATGACTCTGGATTTGTTAAGGAATGAATGGGTCTGAACCAGGTCTAACCTGTCTCATACAACATTACTAGTCAAACAGAATATAAACCTCATGGCCTAAAATCACCATGAGGTTTAGATTCTATTTCAGGGAAAATTCTAAAGACTGGCATCCAATATATAAGATCTGAGTAACTGGGCGTGGTGGCCCACGCCTGTAATCCCAGCTACTCGGGAGGCTGAGGCATGAGAACTGCTTGAACCCGGGAGGCAGAGGTTGTGGTAAGCCGAGATCACGTCACTGCTTTCCAGCCTGGGTGACAGAGCGAGACCCTGTCTCAAAAAAAAATCTGAGAACAACCGACTCAGTTCTGCAGTAGAGCTCAATCTCCTCAAGCAGATGTCAAGTTCTGTTCCTAAGATCTATATGGAGATAGATCTAGTCCAGTGCTGTCCAGTACAACTCTCTGCAATGATGGTAATGTTCTATTTCTAACCATGCTAGCCCAATAGACACTTTAAACACAGATACTATGACTACAGACTCAATTTTAAAATGTATTTAATTTTAACTAACTTGAATTTAAATAGCCACATATAGCTAATGGCTACTGTATTGGATGGTAAAGTTGTGGTCTATACTTCACTGCAGACCTAAAATCAAAGCAGCTTCGAAATGCTAAAACAATGCATAGTCAATAATTTCCCTACCTGATATGCTACAGAAAATTTTAAAAAACAAACAAAACCACTTTTTAAAGAGTAATCTATATTGGCCTCTAATTTTTCTTTTCTTTTTGAAAGAGAGTCTCGCTCTGACACCCAGGCTGGAGTACAGTGGCATGATCTTGACTTATTGCAACCTCCACCTCCTAGGTTCAAGTGATTCACTTGCCTCAACCTCCGGAGTAGCTGGGACTACAGGCATGCACCACCATGCCCAGCTAATTTTCTATTTTTAGTAGAGACAGGGTTTCGCCATGTTGGCCAGGCTCGTGTCAAACTCCGTCTGACCTCCAGTGATCTGCCTCCCAAAGTGCTGGGATTACAGGCATGAGCCGCAATGCCCAGCCTGATTTTTCTTTATGATATCATGGGTAATATGTTTAGCTTAAGGCATTTATTCGCAAATTTGAAAGAGAAACAACTTAGGAACACATATCCGTATATATTGTGACAAGAACACATTATGCCAAGAAACTTCACCTCACAGGATTCCTCACTGATTCCTAGGGCAATCCTGTGGGCAATTACAATTCTGTTTCCTAAATTTCCATTTACCTATCATTTTTCAAGGCTGTCTGCATTTAGAAAATCAGAATATAGTTTTTGTCAATTATAGCTCATCAGAAATATTAAAAACATTGAGAAAAAATATTAAGGAGATATACACTGTAGCTACTTAAAAAAATTCCAGTTGTTGAATCATTACTTCAATGTGCTTAAACACCCTGTATTTTGTGTACAGGGTGTTTAATTATTTGGAAATAATTCATGAATATCAAGCAGTATTATCCCTGATGATTTGAACCACCCAAGCCATAATGCTATGTAAAGTACTCTATTGCCACTTTTACCAAATTGAACCCCATAGACACACACTATTCTAGACGCCACCAATCCTTCTTAGGTTCTTTGCTCAAAATGCATGTATGTCCAATTCCAACCAAGAATAAGATAAAGGAGACAGTTTCTTCCATAGTCTCTAGCTGGATGGTTGAAAAAGCAGTTTGCTTTATCGTTACATGGTACTTCAAGGAATTCACTTGTCTTAAATCATTCTGCCTTTCCAACGCCCACATAAAGTAGGCCATGAACTCTTTACATTGTAGGTTTTTGGTTTTTTTTTTCACTCAATCAAACTGCTTTGTGATCAAAGTTTTTTAAAAAATCACTAAACCATAGTATGCTACTTTCTAAAACCTTAAATGGATGATAAGAAGATAGTGACTATCTCAGATCTGAGACCAGTTTCTATAATTAAGAATGTTTTTTGTAGATGTGTAAAAAGAAAGGGCCCAAGAAACGTATCCCAAGCTTGGCATAATGAAGAAATCTACTACTTCATCTTTTGCAATTTGACTTGTTAATTTCTCATGGTATCTATATATTCCTGAACTTTGCTGACACAGGTCCTGGAAATAAATGAGAAACACATGCCAAGAACACAAACTTTAAAAAGGGTGATTAAGGGTGGGTGTACTATTTATTTAATAAAACTCAGAATATTAAGGAATGACTAATTCAAGAGTGGCCCAGAAAAAGGAAACATTTGGGAGACCTCTAATCAAAACAGCAATTTATGAGGGTACAATTAAAAATTCCCATCAATTTTTTCAATTCTTACCTGAATGAATAAATTTCATCCAACCCATCTTCACCTTCTAAAGATATCATCACCATTTTCACTATCTCAAGACCTTCTTTTTGCTGTTCGGTAATTCCTTTTAGTGGAAAGGAGGGCCCATGGCCACCCAAGCGAAAGGTGCCATCTCCTCTGTCCCCACTTCCATCTTCCATGCCAAGCGAGAAAGGCAAACTATTAAAGAAAGATCAACAGTAGTTAGTGTTCTAATCCTGTAACTGTAACTCATCAGGTATGAGCAAATGAGCACATCAGTCAACCTTACCAAGTTTTGAATTTCTCAGCTGTCAAATGACTATTATCTACCTTAGACAATATTCTCCCAGTTTCAAGTGACTGAAACGTCTTTGATTTGTAAAAGGGGAAAATCATTGGCTACTACATAACCAAGTAATTGAAAGGGCAGGGTGGCACAAGGCCTTAGAAAGTCCAGACCCAGGGTCTCAACTGTGGCAAGGATTTCCCTCCCCCTCTCTCTATTTTACCTTCATTTGCCTTTATGCTGGCTTCCCTCTCTCAGACTGGCCTCTTCCACATTGTAATGGTCTATACGTGTCCCCCAAAATCATTATTTTGAAATCTAATCACCAATATGATACCATTAAGACAAAGGCCCTTCAAGAGGTAATGAAATCCTGAGGGTGGGGAACTCATAAATGGAATTAGCGACCTTAAAAAAAATGGAGAGGCTTTTTGCCATTTTTGCCTTTTATGTCCTTCCACCATGTGAGAACAGTGTTAGCCCTTTTGACATGGGACGACACAGCAACAAGGCACCATCTTGAGAGCAGAGATCTCTCAGCAGATACCAAATCTGTTAGTGCTGTGATCTTGGACTCCCTGGCCTCCAGAACTATGAGAAATAAATTTGTTTTTAAGATGATTTCTCATTTTATTTGCTACACTTAAAACAGGACTTTCTGTTCGCAATTTTTCTTCATCTACTTAGCAAACACAGCATGATGTAATTTGCATGTCCTACATTATTTATCAAGTAAAAAGTTTCCAGGGAGGAAAGTGTGACACACAAGGTTTGCATCAGGTTACTCCTGTTTCCAAAGCAACAACCAGAAAAGGACAAATGTCATAAAAGCGAAGGGAAAGGAAGTTATCCTGGAAAAAGAAATTACAGTAACAGTTCTGGCTATTCTGCATTAGATCAGAAATAAGCTTCCTCAGTAGTCAGTAGAAGAAACTAAAAACTACACCAGGCATAGTGGCTCACGCCTGTAATCCAAGCACTTTGGGAGGCCGAGGCAGGTGGATTACTTGAGGTCAGGAGTTCAAGAGCAGGCTGGCCAACATGGTAAAACTCCATCTCTACTAAAAATACAAATATTGGCCGGGCATGGTGGCACACGCCTGAAATCCCAGCTACTAGGGAGGCTGAGACAGGAGAACTGCTTGAGCCTGGGAGGCAGAGGTTGCAGTGGGCCGAGATTGCGCCACTGCACTCCAACCTAGGCAATAGAGTGAGACTCCATCTCAAAAACAAACAAACAAACAACAACAAAAAACCTAAAAACTGCTGGGTGGGGTAACATGCATCTGTAGTCTCAGCTATACAGAAGGCTCAGGTAGGAGGTTCACTTGAACCCAAGAGTTTTAGGCTACAGTGAGCTACAACTATGCCACTACAGAAGAAGACCTCATCTCTAAAAATAAATCAATTAATTAATTAATTAATTAAAAACAGAACACAGTGCTTCTCTGGGCTGCCGGTATTTTTTTTAGTCCAATTACAACAATCAGTTGTACATGGAATACAACAAACAGTAAAACTATGAACTCTACTTTGTATGCTGGAGGTTTGTAGCACAGGAAGAAAGCACATTACCAAGAAAAAAATACAACCAAATAAAAAGCAGATAGGTTATGCTTTCTCTTCTGCACACTTTTCTGTATTGCTCATCAAAAAAAAAATGGGTAGCTCTTTCGAATGACATTCACAGAAATGCAGTATGCTTCTAACATGTAAAGGCATCCTGAGATTATGAAAAGGGACCAGAAGCTGAGCTGGGCTTCTGAAGTACTGAGAAAAACCTCAACTCAATAAGAAGTGTCACTTAAAAGCACTTAATTTCTCTGAAGTACCATCTTAACAAGTACTGGTTTGATGGGTTATTCTTTTTTTTTTTTTTTTTTTTGAAACGGGGTTCTCGCTCTGTCGCCCAGGCTGGAGTGCAGTGGCCAGATCTCAGCTCACTGCAAGCTCCGCCTCCCGGGTTCACGCCATTCTCCTGCCTCAGCCTCCCGAGTAGCTCGGACTACAGGCCTCCGCCACCTCGCCCGGCTAGTTTTTTTTTGTATTTTTTAGTAGAGATGGGGTTTCACCGTGTTAGCCAGGATGGTCTCGATCTCCTGACCTCGTGATCCGCCCATCTCGGCCTCCCAAAGTGCTGGGATTACAGGCTTGAGCCACCGCGCCAGGCTGATGGGTTATTCTGAACTCTTTTTCCAGTCATACAGAAAAGAGATGTCGCTCAGTAGTTTTAAGAGAAGACTACTCATACACGCAAAACAAGTTCTTCATGTCCCCTGGCATTTTATGAAGTCAAAGGCTTACTACTCTAAGCTACAGGCTTCTTGACATAGCTCTCAATTTGAAAAACGAGTATTCCCAGAAGATTAATAATTCAACATCCTATACCACCACTCAATTGTCACCAAAAATAGGACAAGAAAAAATAGGTTCCAAATGCAGCAAGAAGGGTTAGTGTAGTGAAAAGAAATTTTTGTTAGGGATATAACACACAGAAAACAAATCCTGGAGGGAAAATTCAAGTTACTGTGCGAGGAAGAATTCTCTCCCTAACAAATTGTGAAATACATATTTTTCCCCTAAAGTTTTATACTCCATCTCTGAATAAACATAAGCAAATCAAATTTTATATATGTGTCTATATATTTTGGATCTGTAAAGAATTAAATATAAACATGTTATGTATTTAGAATGATTCCCAAGTTGGCATTCCTGTCTACCCTAAAACATCCACTCTCTATAGGACACAGTTCTCTAGAGCTGTTTAAAAAAAAAAAAAATCCATCAATCTGCTAACTGTTTGGGTAAAGCCTTCTATGCAGGAAGGAGACAAACTGGATATCCTCAAAGGGTTCTTCTAATCCTCAATTCTTTGAGTCTAACAACACTAAACAATGATCTGCCACTAAGCTCAATTCTTCTGGATCACTGACTTTCATCTTTTTGTCACCACCACTCAGAACAGTTCCTAGAACACAGAAAGTAATCAGCAAATGTTTGCTGAGTAGTCAGTCATCTGACAGATTCAGCCTTGGAGCAGAAAGTGAAAATTCCCATAAACCAAGTACTCTTTTATAAAGAGGTCCCATTCACTGCATTAGGAAATCACAGGATTTGTCTACATGCATTATTCTTAGGCTCTTACAAGAATTGCAGGGAGATGTCACATTTCTTCAAGCTATGAATTATAATATCCAGCTGACTTTTGCTGAATCGGCTGCTGAGGTCAGTGAATATTTCAATATGCCTCTTCTCAAACTTCTTTCCTCTAAAAGAGAGAGTTATCATATTAAGAAATCATTCTCCTGAATTATTATTTTTCTACAAATTCAAATATACTTGGTCACTGAGGACAGAAGCTTAGAAACGGATCTGGATAAAGTTAATAAATGTGATTACATTCTAGTAGTCCCATGAAGTTCTCATTAAATTCATAATCAACCTGATATACTTTATACTTTGAACACCTTGGCCAAAATTTCTGAGCATTATGGAAATATTATCTTTCTGGATCCGTAACTCAAATGTGATGAAAAAATATCCCTTCCCAGCCTCCATACAGGCAGAATGTAAACAAAGAATTATCCCAGCATACTATAACTTCAGCCTTGCTCAGGTTCACTTTCTACATATCCTGCTCTGATTCCATGCAGATTTTGTGTGGCGAGATTCAGCAGAGGATAGGCAGAGACTAAGAAATGATTATACAGATTTAGGCCTGGGATTTTAGTGCAAATGATTTTCCTGACAGGCAAGAGGTATGTGTATATGTACATGTACGTCTCCAGAGATACATTTCCAAGGCACAATAATTAAATAATGAATTAGGAAGCAGGCCAGGCATAGAGGTTCATGCCTATAATCCTAATATTTTGGGAGGCCAAGATAGGAGGACTGCTTGAAGCCAGGAGTTTGAGAAAACCTGGGCAAAATAGTGAGACCATTTCTGCAAAAATAAAAATTCTAAAATTAGCTGGACTTGGTGGCATGCACCTGTAGTCCCAGTAGCTCAGGAGGCTGAGATGCAAGGATCTCTTGAGCCCAAGAGACCAAGCTGAGGTTGCTGTAAGCCATATTGGCACTACTGCACTCTAGCCTGGGTAACAGAACAAGACCCCAACTCCAAAAACAAAAACAAAAACACCAACACACACACACAACAAAAAAGGGAAGTTGGCCAGAGTTACTATGCACTTAACGACATATGGCTTATACCACTTAGTGTTTTTTAAAATTCCTGGTAATCAGCTTAAATCTAATAGGAAGTAAACTGAAATAAGTCAAATGTTTTACTTCTCCCAGAGAAATACTCACCGAGTATAGCCCTTCCTCTTTTAAAACTCTTATAAAACAGAAAGGTTGGACTGAACCATTCAATTCTATAAAATGTTTCTCTTGCCACACAAACATGTTGCTTGATTAACAATGAATCACAAAGTACAATCAATACATTAACCCATACAATTTTTGCAGAAAGATTCACTTCTAGCTCTCTTCCTTGGAACACTTACATTGTTTCATGTTGAATCACATCCATGCTCACGATTAGTGCATCCAGGACTCAGCTAGTTAAGGACAGGGATATCACCAAACAGTCTCTTCATGCCATGAACATGCAACTCTTTCCAATGAAGTCCACTGTGCTGTAAATTGTGGACACTGAACTATGTGATGACTTAAAAGTACGTGCCTGAATGTCCTTCTTCCAAAGTTCACTAACATATATTCATACATTCTATATATCAAAGTACATATTCTGCCAAAAACAACCAAGAAATATAAACAAAAAGTAACCTAACACATTGCATTCATTTAACCAAAAATTATGTCATTTAATAGTATCTAGAACCCATTTTTGGTGGTCACAGTTCATTTTTAAATACGAAGCGAACCATATGTAGCATTTGCAAGTCACTCCTAACACAACAGCACTTCCCAGTGATCAGGAATAGCACTACTAATTGATTAGAAAAAGAACAAGAGTGATCCCTTAAAATTAGGGGACCTGTGGAGTAAACTGGAAATCTCACTTTGGGTATCAATCTGATTTCTGGTACAAAAACATCTTCCACCTAGAAAAAAAGTAGAGAACACTGGGAGGATGCTCTTTTAAAAATATCTTTTATCGGCCAGGCGCGGTGGCTCAAGCCTGTAATCCCAGCACTTTGGGAGGCTGAGACGGGCAGATCGTGAGGTCAGGAGATCGAGACCATCCTGGCTAACACGGTGAAACCCCATCTCTACTAAAAAATACAAAAAAACTAGCCGGGCGAGGTGGCGGGCGCCTGTAGTCCCAGCTACTAGGGAGGCTGAGGCAGGAGAATGGCGTGAACCCGGGAGGTGGAGCTTGCAGTGAGCTGAGATCCAGCCACTGCACTCCAGCCTGGGCGACAGAGCGAGACTCCGTCTCAAAAAAAAAAAAAAAAAAAATCTTTCGTCCACCTCCAAACATTTCTAACTAGCACCCCTAAAACCCTCTGCATATAGTCAATGCTCACATGTGCTCCCTAGGATCTTCCCTCTTCCTATGCCTCCCAACCTCTCAATATCATCACCCATGCAGAGAATAGGGAAGTGAGTGGAGGGCTAGGAACCCAGGCACCGTTTTAAACTGATTAATTTCACATTAAACCCTATTAACACATTACCTCCCCCTCCTCAGAGCAAAATATACCCATATACTCATAGCTGAAACTCTGGGGGTGTCTCATCAAACTGCTTTACGATTCCCGGAATAAAGGAAATTTCTTAAAGTCTTCTCTGGCAGAAAAAGGATACAGTCAGCCTGTTGAGAACCTGGTTGGATTTTGCTTTCAATGTCCTCCAGTAAATCAAAATCTGGTAGCATCAGATGTCTGTGCACTGTGATGTTCTGATACTGATCCCCACCAGAAAGGGGATTGTCAGTGCCATCCGTACCAAACAGGACTAAAGCAATCTCATCCTTGTTCTCAGCAAACACCTAGAAAAAAAAGTCAGATGGCAGAAAACTATATTAGAACAACCTGGAAGCAATAAAATACCCAACCTCAGGGAGCAGGAAAATCAGACCTCCCTATGGCAGATCCCTGGGGTCATATAGTACTGGGCGGGATGAAACATGAGACTTACAGACAATGACAATTCTTAGGTTCTAAACAGATTTTTTTCATTGACTATAAGTCTCACCCTTCCTTTCAGCAGAAGTTGGGGTGTGGAAATAGGAGGGTGGTTAAGTGCTCTTGATGACTTCCAGCCAAATCAAACTCTAATTCTCAATTAGAGAACCAATCATGAATAATTTGAAAAGATTTTAGTATGTCTTTATAGAATGTCTAAGGTTTAAATTTTCCAGAGGTTTAAAAAAAATGCAGGATAGCCTGCATCCCAGCAATTTCACCGGCAGGCATATACCATATACCCTAGAAAAATTATGTACAGATAGGAAGTTTACACTTTTGCACCGTTTATAATGGGGCAAAAACTGGAAGCAAACTATCAATAAACAGGAGAATGCAAAAATACATTGCAGAATATTTATACAACAAAATACCATACTCCAGTAAAAATGAATAAACTTGTGCAACACATATCAACATGAAAAGATCTTTAAAAAAGGCTGATAAAAGATATGCTACAGAATTACATGTACCATATAAAACCATTTACATACACTTTTGACAGCTTTATACAATACTATTTATCAGTATATACTCATGTCCAAGTATAAAATATACATGGTACTAACTACCAAAATCCTGAGAAAAGGAGAAGAGAAAAAAAGGGTTAGCAAGGGCCTTCAAGTTTATCTGTAACACTTTATTTAAAAAAAAAAAAATCCAACAAATGTGGTAAAACATGAAGATTTACAGCATAAGACAATGGAAAAATTGGTTACCTGTATACTCTCTGCATTTGCCTCTTTTATGAAATACTTCATAATAAAGTATAAAAACCAAAAATAGTATCTGACACAAAAGACAGGCTTGTCCCCATCTAATTATTAACACAGGCCTTTTTACATTGATGGGGAAGAGTGCTGTACGAATAGATAATTGAATTCTGTCATTCTTCATTTTTGTAGGGTCTGTTTAATCGTTTAGTCTGTAAACAACACAATTACAATTCCCAGTTGTACATGGAGTAAAGGTGTCTGCTGCTGGATTCAAACATGTCTAGCATAATGGCTGAGCAAGTATCTGCCGCCTAGACAAGCATCCATCTTAAGGCAAGGGAATCTTGCCCTAGAGAAAATCTGTCATGGGAGGGCAGAAAATTCAGAATGTAGTAAGTGAGTGGCACTAAGCTCCTGATTCTGACTTCCTGATTCTTCCTCCTTAAAACAGAAACAAACAAAAAAACACCTATACTCTTGTTACTGGGGTGTGAGCCGGCAGTTATCTAGAGAAACTCCGCAGCGGCGACTCTGCAGTAATCTCGGTTCTTGGTCTTCTCGAAGTAAAGAATTCAAACGACAGACACAGGCAAGATTTAAAGCAGGAGGAAAAATTTATTTTTAGCAAAGTCAGAGTTTACTGGAGAAAGCAGAGTACGCTTGGAAGAGAACCAAGAGGGCGACATAAAAAATCAAGCGCGCTGCGCCCTTCTTTGTTTAGTTTTTAGACAGCCCCGCCCCCCCGGCGCCATCTTTTCCCGAGCTTCCAGTTTCCTTTGTTCCTTCCTAGAGCAGGCCGAATTAATCAACGCATGCGCACTAGCCCTGCTTAGGAGTGGGCCGCACGCGTAATGTGTTTACTAGTCATGCGCATGCTCAGTAGAGGCAACTCGCCCTTTTTGCTCGAGCGCCCCCACAGGAAGCTTTTATACCGGTTAAATTTCACCATCTTGCTCTTTTACTGCGCATGCTCGAAACCTTAGGGATTGTGGCTTGCTAACTCCAGGTGTTTTCTGTCTGTTGTTAAAATACCTGGCGCCAATCATGGCCACTTATTACCTTACAGTGATATTTTATGCCCGCCTGTCTTCCCCTCAGTGAGAACCTGACAGCTTTGGGGACCCTCCCTTGCCCTGCTCATCACTTCAGAGGGACAGATTTCTAATTGCCTAACCATGGTTTCACAAATGCCCAACATTCTCGGAGGCCCTCTCTCCTGCCCTGCTCATGTCTACCTACCTTCTCTAACAGCATACTAGGGCACTGCCACGCTACTTGAATTCCACCAACACAACCATAACCAAGAACAGGGTTAGAGCACCTTCCTTGACACAACACCTCAAGGATTCCAGGTCATCAAGATTTTTAAAAATCTGGAATGACAGTTGGGACGTACTAGTGCTCAACGGAAGTGGAAACACACAGAAGAACAGAAGTGTCCAGGAGGAGCAGCAGTAGACAGTGAAGGAAGCAGAAACTCATGGACTTAGCAAAAGTGGCAGTCATACCAAGTAGAAGGGGCAGAAATAAAAATAGCTGATACCTACATAGTGTTTACAAAATTCCAAGCACTATTCTAAGCACTTTATCTACATTAATTCTTTTATTCCTCAAAACAACCCTATGTGACAGGTATTATTATTCTCATGTTACAAATGGGACACTGAGGCACTGTAGTAGCTAACCTCAAGATAGCCACCATCCGTTCTTTCTCTCCGTGTATTTGCAGGCTACTCTTTAAGAAAGGGAGTCTAATTCTCCTCCCTTAAATGTGACCTAGCCTTAGTGTCTTGTTTGACTAATAAAAAACGACTTTCTGGGGTTTTTAAAAATAGGTCATAAGAAGTCACATAGGCAGAGTCTCATAGAACGGATACTCCTTAGAACCAGCTGCTTCATGTGAGAATTCAAACTATACAGAAACCACATGTAGAGGTTCTAATGGACAGCCCCAACTGAGCTCACAGCCACTAGAAAGCACGTCTTCCAGCCATGTGAGTGAGCCATTTTGGACATCTCGTCCAGTTGAGCCTGTGGATGACTCCAGCCCCAGATGCCATCTGATTGCAACTGCGTAAGGGGCCTCAATAGAGAATCACCCAACTGAGCAACCCAGTCATCCCACAGAACCAAGAATGATGATTTTTTAAAATGTGAGACACTATATTTTGGGGTAGTTTATTACATAGCAAAAGATAACTAGTCACAAAGAAGTTGAAGGACTTGTTCAAGTTCAGGTTAGTAAATAACATGGCAGAGCAAGGATTCAAACCCAAGTCATCTGTCTCTAGGGACTGTGCTTTTAAACATTACTTTTTACTGCCTCTTGTTTCTGATAAAAACTGTAATAGTGAAGGGGCCAAAATGCGGGAAGAAAAAATATCAGACTGTAGTGGGAGGTGAACATGTATGTGAGTACACATAAGGAAACTCCCCAGATTCCCTTAAACAGAGGGCTGGACACTATAAGGAGGCTGGTATCTTGCATTAGTAAGGTAGAGACAACAAGCAATTGAAACACGGGTTACAAGCTCAGTGTCAATCTGAAACTTACCTGTCGCTGGACAAACATGGTTATCACCTTCTTTGCTTGTTCAAATGGGGATTCTACACCAGGAATGGAGTTACTCATGGTAAAGCCCACGTCCATGCACAGCACAACAGCTGCCTGAAAACAAAGTTCCAAAGAGTGTTTGAGAAAAGAAGTCATGAAAAAAGATGGTCAGAATGTCCCTTGCTTATTAATGTATTCATGAACCTGTATCACTATTTAGTAAAGATGTGAGAAAGGGATGTGTTCTACATAAGAATGTTTGTAAGACATATAAATTTTCACTACGGAAAACGCTTATATAGTCCTGGTACTTTCTAAAAGCTACAGAAGTTTCTACCCGGAGAGCAATATGCTCCAGATAGCTGCCACTCCTTTGGTCTGAGCCCCAGAATAAATCCATGATGAGTAGATATGACGCCAACTTGCAGGCCAGAGTTAAACCCAGTTATGCCCAGTATGCGTCAGACAAACTGCAGCTGATCTGTAGACCTACAAACATGAGAACAGATGTTTTCATTATAAGTCACTGATTTGGGGCATAATTTGTTATGAAGCATTTTTGTTACAAGTAACTGCTAGAATCTAGATATATGCTAAGAGGTAGACCCTGACAATTTGAGTCAGTTTGTAAACTGATGATCTAAAATAAAGACACCAAATCTATTCTAGTAAAGGACACAGAAGATAACAAATAATACCAGAACAATGTTCCATGAATAGAAGTATGCACTGGGCACTGAGAGACACAAAAGGAGCATCCACTCAAGACTGGTAGGGGGGATTACCAGAGCGGTGAGGGGGCAGAAAAAAGCTTCCTGAATGTGGACTTCCTTGGGTGAGTCTTAATGAGTAGGAGTCAATCATGTGAACAAGGAAGTTACAGACAGAGGGAATCACATAAGCTAAGGCACAAGCTATTACATAGCAATCACGTATGTAGGAGACTAAGAAAACAAGAGAAACATAAACTAAATGCAATACATGTAAAGTTATTTATACCTGGCTTCCAAAGTTTACCTGAATACAAGCCAGAAGAGACCTGGACTGATGGCAACTCACAATTTCAGTGTGAGTTATAAAATCAATCAACAACGTGAAATGTCTTTTGCACCACATTCCCCGCACCTATCTTACTTCGTTGCCTAAATATGTTGGTCTGTATCAACAGTGTAGTGAATTCAAAAAGAGAAAAGAAGGGTTTTCCGGTGAAAAAAGATAATAGCAATTGGGAAACCTGGGATCTAGTCCCATCTCTCCTACCCATTAGTTCTGAGTCCTTGGGAATGTCACTTAATCTCACTGTTAATAATACTAAAAAGTAAGAAACTGTTGGACTAGATGAGGTTTAAAGTCCTTTCTGGAGTTAACATTCCTTGACTCTCACTGATAGTCCCAGCAGTGCTTTGTACCGATCAAACAAACTGTGAGCAGTTCTGGGCTAACATCTTACCAGGAAAATTAATTACAAATGAACATGAAACGAGCAGGTTAGGGAAGAATCTGAAGAATATATGATGTAAAGAACAGTAGGAAAAAACTAGATATTTAAGCCAGATGAGAAGATTAAAGGAAACATAATAGTCTTCCTCCCCATCATTTTTTTCCCTTTTTTTCTGAGACATAGTCTGTCACCCAGGCTGGAGTGCAGTGGTGTGATCATGGCTCACTGCTGCCTCCATCTCCAGGGCTCAAGTGATCCTGCTACCTCAGCCTTCCAAATAGCTGGGACCACAGTTGCACCCCACCATGCCCAGTTAATTCTTATATTTTTCTTTTTTGTAGAGATGGGGTCTCACTGTGTTGCCCAGGCTGGTCTCAGATTCCTCGGCTTAAGCAATCCTCCCACCTCTGCCTCTCAAAGTGCTAGGATTACAGGCATGGGCCACCGTGTCTGGCCTCCCCCAAGATATTTGACAGCTGTTGTATAAAAGGATTGGTCTGCAAGAAAGACAACAGGATCAACAGATGGAAGTTACAGGGAAACTGGTGCAACTCCATATAAGGGATAAAAAAATAACATTTAGAAGTGATCAATAAAGAAATTACTCTTTTTTAAGTGACCTCTTAACCCTAGAAATGTTTTAAAAACCTGAATGAATTTCTATCAAGAAAGTTATAGATGATTTATAAATGTGGTTGCATCTCAGGCAACATATGAAAAGGAAAGATTATTTTTCACTAGTTTACAAACAACACAATGCACTAATATTAAGAGATTTCTGAAGTAAAAATAGATAATTTGAAAAAAAAAAGGTGCTAATAAACCACAAAATTCCTTTGAGAACAGTAAAATGTACATCCCAGTTTCAATGCCTGGGGCATAATAACCTAAAAAGACTTGAGTCACAAAATATGCTGTTGCACTTATTTGATACACATCCACAAAAGCTACTTTTAAACCAGAAAACTCTATAGATGACTAAAGCACTTTGTCATGAATTAGGTATGCAGAAAATGCCATCAAAGGTTTTCAAATATGGAACTTCTTGTCTGGAAGCAGAGTCGTCTATATATCCGAGTTCCTATCTGGCAGCAGCAAGAAAAGTGAGAAAGAGAAACTGGGCAGCATAGCAACTCTTCATTTCTATACCAAAGCAATACAGGCTGTTAGAATTTTACTTCCAGTCCATCTGCCACAAACAGTTCCTCCACTAGAGCTACAAAGTTTTCAGGAGCTGAAAGAGGAGGAACAAAGGAGGTGAGTGGCATTATCGTTCAAAAACGATCAAAAGCAGCATGATTGTTTTAATCAACATTTCTCAATGACGAGTGCTCAAACTCGTTTCTTGTTTATCTGTAGTGAATGAATTCATTAATCCCTGGAACCACATCTCCCTCTAGTGACCCTTCAGAGACAACTACCACCCTTTGATGTTGAAAAAAAAAAATCACTTTAAAATTCATTGTAATTTCTGTTATTGATCTGGGACACCAACGGTCATAGATTTCTAGCAACACAGGGGTTCTCCAGGGCCCTGAAACCAGACTGTTTGGATTCAAATCCGGATTTCACCACGAAAAGCCCACAGTTCTTTATTCCTCGGTTTTCCCACTTGCAAAATGGGGGTAGTTTTCACTTTAAGGGGTTGTGAAGATTAAATGAGATAGGAATAAAAGGTTTACATCCGTCCCTCACAGAGTAGGCTTTCAATAAATGCGGGATATTACGTTATTATCAAGGTAATAATACGACACTTTGCATTTTAAGTTATTTTAGTCACAGATAGTCCTTCTCTTAAGTTTTACAACAAGCCCTGTGGGATAGTTGCTTTATCACAGCTAATTTTCACTCTCATAGAGATCTTAAGAACCCAGGCTCAGAAGTAATAGAGGAAGTGGGGTTAAGGAGTGGAATGGGATAAAGGGAGAGAGGGGGAGGCGGGTGGGGAGGGAGGTGAGACAAAGAGCAGAGGGAGAAAAGGGATGGGATGGGTGGGTAGTGGAAAAGATGGAGTCGGCGAGGCTCAAATTCAGGTCTTGGAACCCCAAATCCCCAGCTTTTCTCATAGCGCATCCCTCGGTCCCGGCCCTCCTGACTGAGCCCACCACCACGATCTTCTCTTGCCCCATTCTTTGGCATGGCCGTGATCCCACGATTCCCGCTTCCGAACCACCCTCTCCGGATCCCCCCGCAAGGGTAAGGCCCAAGCCCATGGCTTTCTTTATACCTTATTCCCCGACCGCACCATGTTGCCGGTCCTCAGGCGCTTTGGTCGCTTCTTCCGGGCGGGAACCTGCCGTCTCGCAACTCGCTTCCGGTGGACTAGCGGCAGATAGCGGGAAGAGCCGCTTCGCTTCCTGCTAGGCCTGAAAGGGGCGGGGAAACCGTGCCCCGCAGCTCTGAGCATGCGCAGACTCCCGCCGAGCTTGCGCAGACTCCCGCCGAGGTTGCGCAGATTCCCGCCGAGCATGCGCAGATTCCCGCCGAGTATGCGCCGATTCCCGCCGAGCATGCGCAGACTCCCTCCATTACACCCTGCTCTGGAGCCTGTGGTTGTTGAGTCTCTTGAGACGCTAGTACGACAAATTTACTGAACGATTCGCTTAATCACTTAAAGATTCACTTCCCTTTTCACTCATTGAGAAAAACACCTACGGCATTTTGTGTCAGAGCTGTGGAGTTAGATTTTCTTTTCTTTTTTTTACTTTTTAAAAAAATCTTTTTTTAATTTCAGTTTTTCATTTTTTTTAACTTTTTATTTTTTGTTCTCTTATCATTTGTGGGTTTTTTTCTACTTTTTATTTTATTTTTGGTTATTTTGGAGTTACATTTTCTTGAGTATGAATGCAGAAAACTTTCTTCTAAAATGTGTAATAATGAAACATTTCACCGATGTGATAAACTTAGAACCTACTCAAGAAGAGTAGGACTTCCCCATGAGCACAAAAGTAAAAAGGAAATTCTTCCAGAGAAAATGGGATGCACGAACGCCTGGAGGCATGAGACGTTATCTGCTAAGGCTCTCTCAGTAGTTATCAGTGGCTGCAGCTTGGAAGGGAGGAGTCGAGGTTTAATTTAGGAGACAAGTCTAGGGAGATATTATAGAAATAGCAGCTGTCAGTACAGTGCTTTACTTGACTACGAGCCCTCTGTCCAGCCCGCAGCCCCTAACCCTTTGAGGGAGGCAGGCGAGCAGTAACTTGCATACAAATGACTGCTTTCTATACCAAATGACCCCCGGCTGACAGGTGGCTGGACGAAGGGTCTGGCAACCTGCAGTGTCTGCAAACCTCTGCCCAAACTGAGAAAATCAAGTCCAATAAATATTCTCTCCTGCTTGAAAATTGTTTCTGGGAAAAGCAAGAATCGAAGCTGAAAAGATGTGGAGAATCCATGAGCCAAAATTATAAATATATTGAAACCTCTAGAATGTAGAGTCAGGCATTTTCAGACGTGCACATAGAGCCCTGGCTCTTCCAGCTTTTGATTCAAACTCAAGGAGTCATTTAAAAGCTGAAATAATTGTTTTGAATAATACTTTTAAGGAACAGCAGTAACCTGGCCGCTCAGCTTTACGCGGGCTGCGGCAGGCAGGCAGGCAGGCAGGCAGGCACGCACGGACACTCGCCCTTCCCTGCGGGTAAGATTCCTGAGAGAAAGATCAGCTCAGCAGAAGGGGCGGTGAAGATCTGCGAGGTTGTCAGCTAAATCTGCTCCAGCAAAAGTGGAAACGAAGCCCAACGAAGGCAGCAGGACAGCATAAATTTTCAGACAAGTAAACAAGGGAAAATGGTAGCAAAGGGCAAACAGGCCAAGTGGCTAACAGGGAAATGAAAGATTTCCCTGTGGAAAACGGTGAAACTAAAACAAGGAGAGTTCAGCCTCTGGAGAAGCAGGACAGAAAGAAGCCGAATCTGATTAGTATCACATACCATATCTTATCAGTGGTCCTTGTCTCCCTTCTTGTACAATCCAGAGCTAGAGAGAGAGAGAAAAAGAAAGAGACAGGGTCTCGCTCCGCTCAGGCTGGAGTCTGGTAGCACAGTCGTAGCTCACTGCAACCTAGAACCCCTGGACTTAAGCGATTCACTTACTTCAGTCTGCCAAGTAACTGGAACCAAAGGTGTGTGCCGCCAAGCCCAGATAATTTTTGTGGGGTTTTTTTGTGTGTGTGGAGGCGGGGACTTCCTATGTTGCCCAGCCTGGTCTTGAACTCCTGGGATCAAGCCATCCTCCCACCTCAGCCCCCCAAAGTGCTGGGATTACAGGTGTGAGCGACTGCACTTGGCCTCAGAGAAATATTTTTATCAACTATTTTGATAAAGAATATTTTTATCAACTATTTTTAAATGCAAGTTTTTTAGTAGCCCTAGAAACATTTTTTTTTTTTGAAAAGGAGTTTCACTCTTGCCCAAGCTGGAGTGCAGAGGTTCGAATTCTGCTTACCGCAACCTCTGCCTCCCGGGTTCAAGCGATTCTCCTGCCTCAGCCTCACAAGTAGCTGGGATTACAGACATGCACCACCACACCCAAATAATTTTGTATTTTTAGTAGAAATGGGGTTTCTCCATATTGGTCAGGCTGGTCTCAAACTCCCGACCTCAGGTGATCTGCCCACCTCGACCTCCCAAAGTGCTGGGATTATAGGCGTGAGCCACTGCGCCCAGCTGAAACATTTTTAAGAAGCAGGGAATCCCACCCGCTTCATCCCATTTTTAAAGTGTAGCTTTTAAAAGGTGAAATAATTCACTTGTTTGTTGTTTGGTACAACCAGCAAACAGTGGAATAGTGAATAATGGGAGGCTTTCACTGTCTTGGAAGTCAGTTTAACATTCCCTAGGGAGAGGGTATTTTATTTCCTATAGTACAAAGCCTACTAAATGGCAATATAGAACCACAGTCATGCATTTAATATGTCTTAAAAAATTTTATATAACTTCTATTTTCATGGTTGTTTAGAATTGTTTCCTGAAGAAAACCATTCCTTGATCACGTTGCTATCCGTGTCAAAATTGTGTGCACTCTGTAACATCTTTGGTTATGTTAGTCCAATTTTCCTGATAACTTTGTTAATGTGCTGTGAAATACTAAAAATGTGTGTGTAGAGTATATGATATTAAATTGTGAATTGGTGGGACTTATGTGACAACTTATCAACAGTTGGATATAATGTACCCTGATATCCTCTTTTTCTTTTTTTCTTTTTTTTTTTTTTTTTGAGACAGAGTCTCACTCTGCACCCAGGCTGGAGTGCAGTGGCATGATCTCGGCTCACTGCTAACCTCCACCACTCCCACCCCCCACCAGGCTCAAGCGATTTTCCTGCCTCAGCCTCCCAAGTAGCTGGGATTACAGGCACCCACCACTGTGCCTGACTAATTTTTGTGTTTTTAGTAGAGATGGGGAATGACAAAATGTTATTTTGGTGATCCCTGTCAGCCATGCCTCCCAGCATTCACACCCTTATGTATTTCCTTCCCCTTGAATCTGGACAGGCGTTCTGACCTGCTATAACCAGTAAAATGTGTCAGAAGTGACAGTAGACAGTTCTGGGCTGAAGCCTTTAGAATACCTGGCAGATTTGTCTTTTGCACCCTGGTGAACCCAGATACCATGTATGAAGTCTGCCATGCTGTGAAAGCCCAACATAGCCACACGAAGGAGCCCTATTATGGACTGAGTGTGTCTCCCCAGAATTCATACGTTGAGATTCTAACCCCCAATGTGATGATATTTGGAGATGAGGCCTTTGGGAGATGATCAGATTTAGGTCATGAGGGTGGCCCTCCTGATGGAATTAGTGCTTCTGTGAAAAGAAACAAGAGCCTAAGAGATGCTGGAACTCTCTCTTTCTCGCGCTCTCTCTCTCTCTCTGCCTCTGCCTCTCTCCCGGCTCACACAAAGAGGTCATGTGAACACAGAATGAGAAGACAGCCACTTGCAATCCAAGAAGAGATCCCCCCAGCCTCTAGAACTGTGAGAAAATTAATTTCTGTCATTTAAGCTACCTAGTCTATGGTATTATCTGTTATGACAACCCAAGTCTGTTATGGTAGCCCAAGCAGACTAATACAAGCACTGAGCACCAACAGCCCCAGGAGTTACCTGGATGTCACCCAGCACCAACTTGGCAGCCATGCAAGTGAGGCTGTCTAGGGAGAAGATCCTCCCTAGGAAGCAATCTCAGCACTAGAAACATTGAGCAGAGACTAGTAGTTTCCACCAAGCTCTGCACAAATTACAGAACTGTGAGCAAAGGAATCAAATAGCTATTTTGGTGGGGTTTTTTTTCTTTTTTTGGTTTTGGTTTTGAGACAGGATCTCACTCTGTCACCCAGGCTGGAGTGTAGTAGCTCTATCTTAGCTCACTGCAACCTCCACCTCCCGGGCTCAAGCCATCCTTCCACCTCAGCCTCCCAAGGGGCTGGGACCACAGGTGCACACCATGCTGTTATTTTAAGCCATTGTGTTTTAGGTGTTACAGCCATAATAAATAACTGAAACAACAGAGATTTTTTTGAACTATTGCTACAATGTAGACAATGTGCTCCCTTCAGGTAGTTAACAAAGGCAAATAAAATTTTTATTTTGTAATTATAATTTAAGTTGCTGGAATATGTTTGCATTTGATATTACCTTGAAAGTGAACTATGTGAGTAATGACTTTGTGAGCATTATAAAAAGTTAAAATGTACAGGCTTTGTGCTCTGACAGAGAGCTGTTACAATGGTTATATGGGTAACTGAGAAAATAGGTAGAATATTAACAGAGTACAGATATGAAATAAAATTTTATATCCTGGCTGCCATGGTGGCTCATGCCTGTAATCCCAGCACTTTGGGAGGCTAAGGCGGGTGGATCACCTGAGGTCAGGAGTTTGAGAGCAGCCTGGCCAACATGGTGAAACCCCATCTCTACTGAAAATACAAAAATTAGCCAGGCATGGTGGTGGCGCACCTATAATCCCAGCTGCTGGAGAATCACTTGAACCCAGGAAGCAGAGGTTACAGTGACCAGAGATCACACCATTGCACTCCAGCTTGGGAGACAAGAGCGAAACTCCGTCTCAAAAAAAAAAAAAAAAAAGGTTTATATCCCGAACAGATGTGAGCAGTGAGATGTCCACTAATATTTTTCAGCATTGCACAAATTAAGCTCCAAGTAGCCATTTCGAAATGGCAAAATGAAACTTTCATATCATCTGAAATTAGTTATTTTTAAGATTTAGAATCTTGTTTTATAGAAAATCATGTGTTTTATTCTTCTTGAATGTGAAGTGAAATGAAGGGTGCTACCTAATGTCAATAGACAAGATGACTTGGAAACACATCAGTGTCACCCTATGGGCCAGACATGGTTTATCGAGCTCAGTACATTATGGCTGTTAAGCAACTGGAAAATATAGTCCTCCTCCTTGACATTCACCACGATGATTAGGTAACTATGAGCCAAAAGAATTGTTCAGGCCGGGCGTGGTGGCTCAAGCCTGTAATCCCAGCACTTTGGGAGGCCGAGACGGGCGGATCACGAGGTCAGGAGATCGAGACCATCCTGGCTAACACAGTGAAACCCCGTCTCTACTAAAAAATACAAAAAACTAGCCGGGCGAGGTGGCGGGCGCCTGTAGTCCCAGCTACTCGGGAGGCTGAGGCAGGAGAATGGCGTAAACCCGGGAGGCGGAGTTTGCAGTGAGCTGAGATCCGGCCACTGCACTCCAGCGCGGGCGACAGACCAAGACTCCGTCTCAAAAAAAAAAAAAGAATTGTTCAAATATGGTATTGAACTCTCCAGTTTCTCCTCTAATGGTCTCTGTGGTGTTTGCTGAGAGTAAAGATGAGACACTTTGGTTCTGTTTGGTTCTATTTTTCCTTCCTCTAGTCTAGCCTTTTACATACCTCTATAGAACCCCTTTGAAATGATTTTAATTTACAAGCCTATTTCTTCCACTAGATGATAAGCCTATTTCTTCCACTAGATGAAGGCCATGTCAACTTAATCTAGGTATCTCTTGGGTATGATCTCATCAACATCCCACACTATTCCATGGCACCACAGCCACTTTACCTGTGTCCTAATCATGACTTTTTGGCTTTTCCCCTTGGTTTCCCCAACCCCAGAAAAATGGGACAAATGTGGTTGCAAGTTTCTAATGTGGTTTGTGAAAATAGTCCACCTAAATAGAATTCCCCAAAATTAGTGAAGCATGGAAAGAGTCCAAACGTAAGGACTCATATTAAGATCATTACATATATATAACATACATATAGGACAGCCATCATGCTCACCCTTTTTCTGCAAGCCATAGCATTCAAAGCAATTTTGAAGAGCTTCAAAGACAAAATGAGCAAATGATAATCAGACTTTATTTTTATTTTCTTTGTCTTCATTTTAATTGTTCATATCTCTGCAAATGCACCATAGAGCACCAAGTTTAACATTAAAACTGTTGGGCACTTTTTTTCTAGTCAAGCTAATAATAGTTATTTAAAAAAAAAAAAAAAAAAAGAGTTCCTCTGAAGGTGGAGCTCAGCACCATACATCAGGCAAATGTCCTCGGCTCTCTGTGGGGAGCATGACCAACTCCTGTGGTTTGATTCATCGCAGCAGTTCTTTCAACAGCTTTGTTTTGAGATATGAACAAAAGAGCACCAGCTATTCTTATAAGGACCCAAATCTCCCAATTCTGCTGACCTCTTAGGAGTTGATATTTTGAAATTAGAAGGACACCCTTAGGAGTGACTTTTTTTTTTTTTTTAAGTTCAGAGTCTGTTAATCTGGATTAATCTGGTTTACACTCCCTACAGGCCAGGAAGACACAAGTTTCTCAGCACAGCAAAGATCATGTCTGTGGTTAAACTCAGAAAGGTCTGAGGGAGTAAAGCTCTGAATGAGGTTTTGCCAAACAAGAGAAGGCTAAATCTGGCTTCTTTGTGCTTAGGGCTACTGATCTCTGTTGGAGGAAACTTTGGCAGATGCAATTCCTCCCTTGCTGGTCTTTAATCTAGGTTAAATAACACCACTTCGTCCCACCTCCACCACCAGGACAAAGAGTTATGCTACTATTATAAATTGTACTCTCCTGTCCACTATTCCTTTCCAAAAACAAATCACATGACATTACAGAAGCTTAATTGCAAAGTATATGAGGTGCTAATATCTATGTATAGCATATTCGAAGTATATGTAGCTAATATCTACATATAAATTCTCTGTGTAAGATTCAGGCCTAAATAAATAAATGAATAAACAAATGAATGAATGAATAAATAAATAAATAAATAAATAAATAAAACCATATTAGCAGTTTGGGGTTCTGAATGTATTTAAATGATCATTGTGAGGCAAACATTCTGACTTGCCTACCAAAATAACCATTCTTTCCTATAATCCCAGCACTTTGGGAGGCCGAGGCAGGCGGATCACCTGAGGTCAGGAGTTCAAGACCAGCCTTGGCAACATGGTGAAACCCCATCTCTACTAAAAAAAAATACAAAACTTAGCCGGGCTTGGTGGCATGCGCCTGTAATCCCAGCTACTTGGGAGGCCAAGGCACAAGAATCGCTTGAACCCGGGAGGCAAAGGTTGCAGTGAGCCGAGATAGTGCCACTGCACTCCAGCCTTGGCAACAGAGTAAGACTCCGTCTTAAAAAGCAAAACAAAACAAAACATAAAACAAATAACCATTCTTCCTTTTTCTCTTCAATTAGTGTGAACCCAATATTTAGCTGAGAATATAGCTACCCAGCCCAACAACTACATTTCCAGCCTCTTTTGCTCATGAGATCATGTGACTGAGGTCTTGCCAATGAGATATAAGAAGAATTGAGTGGGACTTCTGGGAAGTCTCCTTGAACAGGAAGGGTGTGTGCTTCTCTGCCCTTTCCTCTATTTTATCAGAAACATGGATGTGATGGCTGAAGATGTAATCAGCACTGGGATGTTGAGGATAAGGGTGAGAAGGGTCACATCCTACTAATGGTAGAGAAATAGAAGAAGCCTGGGACCTGGATTACTTCACAGGGTCCCAGGATGGTCTGCCTCCAGACTTCTTCTGTACAAGAAAGAAATACACTTCTATCTTGTTTAAGCCACTGATATTTTAGGGTTTTAATTCTATGCAGCTAAATCTAAATCTAAATGATGCACACAAATGTTTACCTTCTGCTACACTGTGGTAGCCCAGCTTCCTAAATGTCTCACTCCATCCCTGTCTATTATCTTGGTGGATGTGGTTACCCCTGAGGTTCTTTATTCTCCCTGACACATTTAGTCACATACTCCCCTCAGTTCTAGGCACCGGTAACACCTTCAGGCTCCCAAAATGACACACAGGAGAGTTCCGTTGTCCTAGATAAATGGTGATTTTAGGGCAGGGAATCAAGAAGAGTTTGTCCACTGGATGAACTGCTTTGGCACAACTGCTCGTCTGTTTCCTGCCCTCCTGGAACCCTCAAGATGGTAAAACTGATCAGTATGGACTATGGTTTCCCAGAAGAACTGCGGAGAGCAGGGGGTAATTTAAAGAAAGAATCTGCTGCAATTGTAAGATGATATATAGGCTACTGGGGCCAGAGGAGGAAGTAAGTTGTTGGGAGTTTAGACCGTGGAGGTTTCTACCTCTTGGATGGGGTCCTTGTTGGAGAGAGTGTTTGAGATATTGTCGGATTCAAGCAACTCTACAATGCTGTAGGGAGAACAGTCCTCTAGGCCCAGCTTGCTGCAGAGCCAGCCACAGAAGCCTTTCTCCATGTCCCGGGCAGCTTGCCACCATGCTCCCCAGGACCATGAGAGCTGGACCACAGCGGCGTAGAGGCCCAGGGAGGAAGCCATGGCCATGATGAGCACAGGATAGAAGAGAATGAGGCAGGGGCAATACGAGATCTTGTGCCAGAAGGTCCTTTCCTCATTATACACGAGGAAGATGTTGTACCAGGTGATAGTGCCATAGTAGAAAGAGACAACAAAAGAGAGGATGAAAACCACAGGCAGGCAGACCAGCGTCCAGAGGACCACATGGGGCCCACGGTCGGCTCCCACCTGGCAGGCCATTCTTCCTTCAGGTGTCGTTTCCCTTGATGACTCTTTAGGCTTGGTCAGTTCCTGCAGCTCTTTCTCTGTCAATGTGACATGGATGTCCACCATCTGACCCTTTTTCTTCCCTCGTGTGATAGTCCCAGTTAAGGTGACATAGCGGCTGTCCAGAGGCAGGTTCCACATATCTGCAGGGTACAAAGGAGGGGAGAGTCAAGATCAGAAGAGTGGGCATTGCATCTCCATGTCGCACCCTCCCCGGCTGGGCATGAGGACAAGAGTAGCCTTTTTTACAGCATCTGGCACAGTCCTGAGTCAGTGATTCAATGGTGGACTGAGTGGGTCTCCCTTGGGAAGGCGACCACTGGTGTTATTGCTCCCACGTGAACTCACACTCCTTGTGCCTGGGCCCTGATAAAATTGTGAGGCATGTTAAGCTTGTTTTTCATGTACTCTCTCTGCTTTTGGGGGCCTCAATCTTGGCACAATCTCTGTGGCATGGAGGAGTGTGAGGAACTTTGATACAGACATGATGCAAATGATGATCCTGTTTCTAGGTAACCGGTGCTGTGAAGATACTGTTCCTGTGTATCAGCTACTCTGTCAAGACTGCATGTGTGTGCACTGGACTGACGGACAGCCACCACCTTCCCTTCTCACGCCTAGTTCTGTGCTTTCTGAGAGGGGGCCCCTCACATGCCTGATCCAGCCCTCACATCTAGGGGCTGCACGCACACACACACACATCCCACATATACCATACACATACACCCTCTCACATACTACATACACACCATACACACACACACACACACACACACACGCCATCTCCCATACACACGACACTGTCCCATACACACAACACACCATGCACATCACATACACATACCACATACATACCCCATACACACACCACATACCCCAAACACCATACATAACACATACGCCACACACAACCTCCCCACACCTGCCACATACAACACATACATACACATGCCATATACACACCACATACCCATACATACCACACATACACACAACATACACACATCACACACCACACACACCCCACACACACATAGACACATCACACACACCACACATACACATACCATACATGCACACAAATGCTACCCCCCACGCATTCCACATATACACACTACACATACCCACCCACATGCCATAGGCACATACCACATAATATACACATTCTACACACATACCACATACCCATACATACCATACCACACATACCATACACATACACACACCACACACACACCACCCACACATACATACACCATATACTCCCCCATACCACACCACCCACACCCATCCACACACACAACACACCACACATCACACACATACCATACAACACACACAAAGAGCCCGCACACCTCCACATGCACCACAGCCACACTGCACACCACACATACACACACATACATGACGCACCCACACAGAACCAGATAGCCATCTTCTGGCCACCCTAGAAGTCTGGGTGGGGATGGGAAAATACAGGCTTTAGGCAGGCTTGGACCTTGGGCCCTGTGGCCTCCTTGCCCCACAGCTGAGAGATAAGACAAAGTCACTTAAAGAGCAGAGCCCTGGATAGTGGCAGGAACTCTGCTTACCCAGAGAAAAGGAATGTGCAGTCCCCCAAGCCCCATCTTTTCCCAGTCTTCATCACGGTAAATACCACCATCTATCCTCTCTGTCATTCCTGTCAATCACCCAGGAGTCATTATTGATTCCCCTCTTTCCCTCACTCCCTGCCTCTGGTCAATCAGCAAGTTCAGATTGCATCCTGAATCCAGCTTTCTCCTGCTATCACCCAAACTTCTCCATTAGTGCTACTGTGGCTGCGGGGACACAATAGTCTCCCATCAGCATCCAGTCTTAACCCTTATAATTTATTCTTTATAGAGAAGCCAGGGTGATCTTTTACAAATATAAATGAGATGATGTCTCTTTGCTTAAAAGTCCTCCATTGCCTTCCTCTTGCACTTGGAACAAATCCCAAACTCTTTGCCAAGACCTGCAAGGGTCTCCAGGATCCAGCCCCTGTCCACCTACCTGTCCTCCTCTCACCATCCTCCCGCTTATTCCCTATACTCCCTACACTGAAATAACTCCTTTCCATAAACAGGTCAAAGCTGCTCTCACCTCAGGGGCTTTGCCCTTGCTGTTCCACCTCCTCCAAAAACTCTGCCCTAGAACTTTTCACGGTGGCTCCCTCATGTCATTTGGATCAATTCAAATGTCACCTCCTCAGAAAAAGCTTTCACAACCATACAATCTCTCCCCCACCACCTTCCACCCTCCACCAGTACTCATCTTCCCATCAGCGTGGTTTCGTCATCTTCGGAACTCATACCACTACCTGAAAAAGTATCTTTTATTTGTTGACTTGTTCATTGTCTGTCTTTCCCTGAAGGTCAACTGCAGAAGAGCAGGGAAATTGCTTATCTTATTCACTGTAAGCATATGTCTTAGAGATCTATCCATCTACACAAATAGATCTGCCTCATCTCTCTACGGCTGCACAATAATAATAATAATTATTTTTTTTTTTTTTGAGATGCAGTCTTGCTCTGTCACCCAGGCTGGAGTGCAGTGGCAGGATTTTGGCTTGCTGCAACCTCCACATTCTACAAACACACATTCTCCATCTCCCAGGTTAAAACAATTCTTGTGCCTCAGCCTTCGTAGTAGCTGGGACCTCAGGCATGCCCCAGCACACCTGGCTAATTTTTGTATTTTAGTAGAGATGGGGTCTCACCGTGCTGGCCACTCTCAAACTCCTGTTGTTGGTCTCAAAGTCCTGACCCCACGTGATCTGCCTGCCTTGGCCTCCCAAAGTGCTGGGATTATAGGTGTGAGCCACCGTGCCCAGCCTCCACAATAATTCTTAATACAAATACATCATAGTTGCATTAGCTGCAACAAGTATTCGTATACATGCCTCCTTATACAAGGATAACATGGGCACAAGTTTCATGGAGTAGATATTGATAATTTCTGGGTCATGAGGTATGCATGTTTTGAACTGTGAATTTTACTAAATATTTAATAAATGTTGACAAGTTTCCTCCACAAAGTAGTTGAGGCAGTTTCCACTTTCACTAAGGTGCATGAAGTATATCCATTTTCTCATATTGATGTATTCATATTTTACCCAATTTTTGGCAAGCCTACATGGGAAGGAATACTATATCTCATTGTTGTCATAATTTGCCATATGATTTTCTTATGGCAAATTTTCTCATAATTGAAAGTCAACAATTATTATTTTATATACATTAAGTAGTTAGCATAGTCTGCTTGTGTTACCAATTTTTGTGTATAAATCAGCCTCTTCCATTACATTAGGAATTCTGAAAGGCTGGAGATTTCTGTACTATCTAGAAAAAATGTAATAGGTGCTCAGTAAATATCATTTGTTGAATGAAGACTGTAATATTGTGCCAGGCGCAGTGGCTCATCCTCTAATCCCAGTGCTTTGGGAGGCTGAGGCGGGTGGATCAGTTGAGGCCAGGAGTCCGAGACCAACCTGGACAACATGGTGAAACCCAGTCTCTACTAAAAATACAAAAATTAGCAGGGCATGGTGGAGCATGCCTGTAGTCCCAGCTACTCAGGAGGCTGAGACAGGAGAATCGCTTGAACCCAGGAGGTGGAAGTTGCAGTGAGCCGACACCACGCCACTGCACTCCAGCCTGGGTAACAGAGCAAGACTCTGTCTCAAAATAAATAAATAAAAGATGGTAATATTGCAAGAAGAAATGTATCACCAAGAAGAAATAGGTCAGTGAGCATATGCCTGTCTGTTCTGGAAGATACCCTTTTAGTTTCCTTCTCATGGCTTTAAACACGTGGGCTAGAGACACTTACCATCATCCACAGGGTAGTCTAGGAAATCATCTCCCTCCTCCTCTTTCGGCCGATCTCCACCTTCTGATTCACCGGGCTCCTCGTCTGTTTTCTCATTGTCTGAGCGGTAGATGATGATGGATTCTGGGCGTGACTCTTTCCTCTTCTTTTTCCTGCGCCCTATTGTGGATTCGCCATCCAGCGCCAGGGCAGCAGCCACAGCCTTCCTGAGAGAGCCCTGGTGGGGGCTTGGGAGCTGGACCTGGCCTTCTACTGCTGCTGGCTCTTCCATCCCAGCCGTGATGTCTACCTATGTATTATAAAGAGTTGGACTTTGAGCAAACTCACAGTTCACACATCACAGAGCTTCTTCCTAGATGGGGCTATGCATGTCCCAAGGATGCATTCCACCTGAAAGATAGGAAAGCAAAGCCATCAACAGGAAGCAAATGGGGTGAGATGGACAGGAATGTGGGAAAGGATCCTCAACTTGGCAGAAGCCTTCCTCTCCCTTTACTTCTTGCAACACTTTATTTTGGGAGTGCAATAGAAATCTCTTACAATAGATAGTGAATAAACTTTTGCTACAGTAATATTTTTGTCATTTATACAAACATATAATATTTGGCAAAATCCGGCCAGGCGCGGTGGCTCAAGCCTGTAATTCCAGCACTTTGGGAGGCCGAGACGGGTGGATCACGAGGTCAGGAGATCAAGACCATCCTGGCTAACACAGTGAAACCCCGTCTCTACTAAAAAATACAAAAAACTAGCCGGGCGAGGTGGCGGGCGCCTGTAGTCCCAGCTACTCGGGAGGCTGAGGCAGGAGAATGGCGTGAACCCGGGAGACGGAGCTTGCAGTGAGCTGAGATCCGGCCACTGCACTCCAGCCTGGGCGACAGAGCGAGACTCTGTCTCCAAAAAAAAAAAAAAAAAAAAAAATATAAAAACCATGTGAAGGAATACTATATCTCATTGTTGTCATAATTTGCGTTTTCCTTATTCATATGAAAGTCAACAATTTTTTTTTTTTTTTACATACTTTAAGTAGTTAGCATAGTCTGCTTGTGTTACTGATTTTTGTGTAGAAATCAGCCTCTAGTTGGAGCATGCAGAGTATAAGGAAGTTGGGTGAGGAAGCCTTACCAGTAAATGAGAGTTAAGAATCACAGGTAGGCCAGGCGTGGCTCACCCCTGTAATCTCAGCACTTTGGGAGGCCGAAGTGGGTGGATCACCTGAGGTCAGGAGTTCAAGACCAGCCTGGCCAACATGGCAAAACCCCGTCTCTACTAAAAATACAAAAATTAGCCGGGCACAGTGGTGGGTGTCTGTAACCCCACTACTTGGGAGGCTGAGGCAGGAAAATCGCTTGAGCCTGGTGTGGGGGTGAGAGCAGCGGAGGTTGCAGTGAGCCAAGATCGTGCCACTGCACTCCAGTCTGGGAGATGGAGTGAGACTCTGTCAAAGAAAAAAAGAAAAAAACCACAGGTGGCTGGGACCAGTATTCCAGACTTCTGGCTATTGAGTCATACATTAAAACTATACTCAAATGGATAAATATAACATTAAGCAAGCCACTCACAGATGGTACAACCTCACCAACCATGTCTACCTTGCTATTCTGTAAAGGAAATCTGTCTCCTGGCTTCTTGTTAGCCCACAATCTCAAAAAGTTGCTGGGATTTGTCCTATCACATGCTGGAAGAGCGGTGGAGAGGCTCCACTTTCTGTTCTGGACAGCGCAGGTCTATATACCTGTCCTTCATTATTTTTCCTGGTAACTTATTTGTTAAAGAAAGCAGGTCATTTATCGTGCAGATTCTCATAGTCTGGTTTTTGCTGATTGCATTCCCACAGCATATGCCTCTGAACTCTGTGTTATGAGTTGATAGTTACGTAGAAAGTCTTGATCAATTTCATGTTGAAATTTTTTTGGTTGATGGTTTGTTTTGTTTGGCAAGACAACTTTAGGGGTGGTGTTTTGTACTTCCATTAGAAGTCCCCTAATGTCTGGTTGACTCTTTTTGTGAAGTTAATAGCCCATTTATGGCCATTGATTATACCCATTAAATCATTAGGGGTTACAGAATAATGATATTCCATTTCTCTCACTTCTTCATTTATTAGCTAGAATACTCTCATGCACTTTTAACATACCCAGTTTTAATCCTAGTGAAAGAGGCAAATGTTCCTGCTGTTATGCAATATTATTGGCATTTATACTGTGAAAAATAGCTTATGAACTATAGTGGCACCCCCTATGGATATAAAAAGTTTCCAAGCTATTTACCAAAAAATTCCCCACTTTTCAAATAACTGTGCATATTATTGACAATAGCAAGCTTCTACTCACAACCTTGCTGCCCCACACTCCTCGAGGCTGTACACTCTTCGGCAACTCCAGGTTACTGGCTGTTACTTTTGTTCCCAACTCCCAAATCCCTCACTGTATTTCAGTGCTCTCTGAGCTTTTCCTTTCTTGCCACATGTACACCATTTGCCATCCCTTTATTCCCAATAATAAAGCTTCTTCTCCTGTCATGTGTATTCAAATGTTCCCAGTGTCTAGTGGACTGGCCCAGTGGATGGGAGTGGGGCAGTGGAGAGAAGAAAGAAACAAAAATTTCACTAGGCTCTAGGATTCCATTAGGCTCCATTCATTTTGAAGCAAATCCCATGTCTAAAAATTACATATCTTTGGTAATTACCATGTGACAGGAAGGACTGTGTATCTCTTCAAATGCTAAAATACATATTTTTTTTCTCATTTCAATGTTTCTAAAATTTAGGTGAATTTTAAGCCCAATGGAATGGCTTTTTCTCTCCCTCCAGGCAGGAGAGCTCTCCTCTGCTGTCCTCTGTTAATTTTCTTTTCCTTTTTTTTTCTTTTTCTTTGAGACGGAAGTCTCGCTCTTTTGCCCAGGCCGGACTGCAGTGGCGCTATCTCAGCTCATTACAAGCTCCGCCTCCCGGGTTCACGCCGTTCTCCTGCCTCAGCCTCCCGAGTAGCTGAGACTATGGGCGCCCGCCACCGCGCCCTGCTAATTTTTTATATTTTTAGTAGAAACAGGGTTTCACCGTATTAGCCAGGATGGTGTCGATCACCTGACCTCGTGATCCGCCCGCCTCAGCCTCCCTAAGTGCTGGGATTACAGGCGTGAGCCACCGCGCCCGGCCTCTCTTTTAATTTTCTTTGTCTTTCTGTTGGATTGGCAGGTGTTGGATCCAAATTAACTTTATACCTGGGCACTTAACCCAATGCCTGGAATAAATCAGGCACCCAGCAACAGAATTGGGAATCTTAGTGGTAGGATCCACAGGAAGAAATGGGCAGGTTTCACTACATCCTCACTGCCTGACTTTGCCTGGGGGGTGTACTGTGGGCAGAATGAGCGCAATTATCTTTAAATTCTTATACATGGAGCTTTCTGGACCAGGAGACTAATTTGGCTGAGGTGTCTAGAAGTACAAAGATGTACACAGGGAGAAGCAGGGAGAGAGCCCTCCGAAGGTAAATAGCTCCCGAGGACAAGTAATCCAACCATTAGAATGCTGAGCAGGCCTTGGGCAATGATGAGCTCGACCAGGGCTCTTCTACCAAAGTGGCCTCAACACAGAGGACAGCGGACCTCTACCCAAAGGAAACTGAATGTGGAGGCTCAACGCGATCCACCCCCAGGTGAAGATTTTCAGGTTTTGTTGTTAAGTACATGTATATGTATATGTATATGTATATGTATATGTATATGTATGTACACACACACACTTTTTATTATTATTTTAAGTTCTAGGATATACATATATATGTATATCTATATATGTACTTATACATATGTATATATACACAAATGTGTATATATACACATTTCTAATTCTACTCTCTAAGTAGAATGTTTAATACAAAAATGTTTTCCCTGATCAAGTCCTCTTGTAAACTGACACTCAGAAAGCTGCATCATGGTAATTCTATGGTAGGAATGACCTCTGAACAAACCACTTTGTACCTACTTGAAGGGTGCAATGATCACAGCTTGGGAGGCCACCCCAATCCACTGTGTTTTCCTACTTAGATCTTCTGTTTTTCTCTGTAGTTTCCTTGGCCCTTCTATACAGTGTAAGTTTTCACACTAGGGGTTGAGACCTTGAGGAGATTAAAGGACCAGAACTTCTGAGCTGGGAGAAGGTTTATGTTCTGTACTCCTTACTCCTTCTTTGAAGATGTGCCTAGATGTTCAGAAGGGAGACAAAAATGTTAAAGAGTACATGTGAGAAGGCAAGTTGCAAATCTCATACTTCTCGTTCCCTTTTCCTCTCTCTTTGTTGAGGGGGTAGTGCTCTAGAAGATGTGGCAGGGCAAAGTGAACACATGCATGGAGATCATGACCTTTATTAATGGGCCTTACAAACAAAAAAAGGTGGCCGGGTGCGGTGGCTCATGCCTCTAATCCCAGCACTTTGGGAGATCAAGGCAAGTGAATCACTCAAAAAATTTTTTTAAATTTAATTTAAAAAAACATAAAAAAGGTATGGTGTTCGACACTCTTGATTTGGTTGGGCACAATGGGAGAGACCAATGTTAGATAACAGGAAGAGCTTCCTGAGCCCAGGGACAGACTAATATAGAAAATAGTAGCTAAGAGAAGCTTTGGAGTCTCTTGAGGATATAAAAGATAAACGTGATAATCTTGTCAGCTGATGGCGGAGAGGGACAATCCTATCGGAAGCAAAAAGAGAGATGACTTTTGAACATCTCATTAAAACCTTAGATAAGAAATATGAAATGTAAAGGGTTGGTGAGCTCCTGGCCATTCACATTAGGGGGCTATTTTTTGCCTCAGGCACAGCTCATTTTAGAAAGGTGCCCAGCCAATGTTTACTCACAGTAGTCACAGGACAGAGACACTGTCCTTGATTTACCTTGAAACATGATTTCCTCATCTCCCTACAATTAGAACATTATCCTTTGAGACTACAAAATATTCCCACAAACTTAGGAAAAGATGGATTGTTTTGTAGTCATGGTAAAAAGTAGACAGTAGAACCAGTTTTAAACCTGTTCAATTGATTAACAACAATCTCCCTCAGCGTCTTAGTCCATTTGAGCGGCCATTAAGAAAATACCGTAGACTAGATAGCTTATAAACAACAAAGATTTATTTTGTACAGTTCTGGGAGCAAAAAGTCCAAGATCAAGGTTAGGGGTTTGGTTAAGGGCTTACTTTCTGGTTCATAGAGGGTACCTTCTCACTGTGTTTTCACCTGGTTGAAGGAGCTGACTAGCTCTCTGGGCCTCTTTTTTGTTTGTTTGTTTGTTTGTTTTTTAAGAGGGTATCTCACTGTGTTACCCGGGCTGGAGTACAGTGGGGCAATCTCAGCTCACTGCAATCTCTGCCTCCCGAGTTCAAGTGATTCTCTTGCCTCAGCCTCCCAATTAGCTGAGACTACAGGCACCCGCCACCATGCCTGGCTAATTTTTGTATTTTCAGTAAAGATGGGGTTTCACCATATTGCCCAGGCTGGTCTCAAACTTCTGACCTCATGATCTGCCTGCCTTGGCCTTCCAAAGTGCTGGGATTACAGGCGTGAGCCACTGAGTCCAGCCTCTGGGTCTCTTTTATGGGGGTACTAATCCCATTCCTGAGGACTCCACCTTCATGACCTAAAGCCTCACCTAAAGCCATCACCTTGGGGGCTAAGATTTCAACATATGGATTTTGGGAGAACACAAACCATACCATAGCACTCAGCAAAGTTGTTTTTGGAAATTAACCCATCAGTCAGTCCTTTGTTTCTGAAAGTCAATCAGGTGAGTGACTCTGTCCCTGTTTGGCTGACTTTCACACTAGTGTGAGTTGACTTTTGGCCAATCAGGGTCTGGCACTCTGATGCTGGCTTTCAAAAACATGCTCACTTAGGCAGTTGTTGATTTAACATGTTTAAAACCAGTTCTGGTGACTACTTGTTATCACGAATACTGAAAAAACAGTGTTTTCCTAAATTTGGGGGTATTTTTTATTGTTTCCTGCAAGGCTGGAATGATATCAGATGTCTCAGTACTAGAATATGAATTATCTGTTGTCATGCAACAAATTACCCAAAAAGTAAAGGTTTAAAACAATAAAAAAGTTATTATCTCACACAATTATGTGTGTCAAGAAACTGGGAGTGCCTTAGCTGGGTGGTGAGTAGTCTTCTCTACCTGCTTCCTGCCTATAGAATTTGGAGGTCCAAAAGCCTTTTGTTTTGTTTTGTATGGTTTCTGAACCTTTTAGTGTTCTGTGAACAGAATTTTCTCAAAAATTCTGTGGGATTCCTATAAATAGTTTCTGAGTCAGAAATGTGAGAGTGGCTTAGCTGGTTTTGTTTCAAGATCTCTAAAGATGTCAGGGCTGCAGTCATCTGAAGGCTTGAATGAGGCTAGATCTGCTTCCAAGATGGTTCACTCACATAATGCTGACTCAGTTTCTCTCCACGTGGGCCTCTCCATGGTCCACCTGAGTGTCCTCATGAAAGTGGTTGGCTTCCCCCAGTGTGAGTGGTCTGAAAACAGGTATTTTCTTTGACCACCCTGACTTGACTCTTGATCCCATCTCTTCCTCATCCTTGATTTCCTCCTTCTCCAATAGCTCCAACTTCCTTCTACTGGCTCTTTCCCCTTTGCCTTCAAACAAACTCAGAGTTCCTTATCTAGAAAAAAATAACTTTACCTTGCCACTTTACTCTATCTGATATCCCATTTTTTTCTCCACCAAGTTTTTCTATCAAATAGTTTATAGCCACTCATATCCAGTTCCTCCTGCAATCTTCTGCCCTCTTTTTCTCCCCACTCCCAACCTCTGTACACACACACACACGCACGTGCAAATCACTTGAAAAGATGATTTAGGCCAGGAAATTAGCGTGTATCAAGCCTTATGTGTCAGGCTGTAAGGTAAACTCTTTATAGACGTTACCTTACTTGCATGTCTCAACAAGCTTGACAGGTAGGTCTTATTTTCCTCACTTGACCTATTAGGTTCAACATGTTAAATATAGCAGTGAGAGAACTTGGGTTTAACTCTATACTTGCATAACTCTAAAGTCCAAGATTTCCCCACTGAGATTTAGAAGTCAAGGCTGGGTGTGGTGGCTCATGCCTCTAATCCCAGCATTTTGGAAGGCCAAGATGGGTGGATCACTTGCAGTCAGGAATTCAAGACCTGGCCAACATAGTGAAACCCTGTCTCTACTAAAAATACAAAAAGTAGCTGGGTGTGGTGGCGCATGCCTGTAATCTCAGCTACTCAGGAGGCTGAGACAGGAGAATCGCTTGAACCTGGGAGGTAGAGGTTGCAGTGAGCTGAGATCGTGTCACTGCACTCCAGCCTGGGCGAGAGAGTGAGACTCTGTCTCAAAAGTAAAATAAATAAAATAAAATATAATGAAAATAAAAAACTAGAAGTAGTCAAGTTGTAGTAGCTGCAGTGAGCAGCTGATGGTTTTTGGTTTTTTGGCTTTGTTGTTTGCTGTTGAAAACCCTATTTCTCCTTCATTTGATGACAGATCCGCTCATTTCGGTGAGGAACAGTCTTGAAAGTGCCTGATGGGATCACAGTGACCACTTCGTCATTCTTATTCTCCTCGTCACACCAGTGCTATTGATTCCACTATTTCCAAATCTTTCTTGAACCTTCCCTCACCTCCTTTAACTTTCTACTTTTATTCTCTTTTACCTCTCAAACCTTCCTTCTGTCTCTTTTGCTCCCTTATCTGCCTTCTCCAACCCATAATTGCCAGTATTTTGTAGGCCCGATTCTTAATTCATTGTCCTCTATTCTCAATAGCACACTCTGCTCCTCTTGTTGAAATATACAGCCTTCCTGTACACAGCTGTAGGACCACTGCTATACCAAGAACACCCAAATCTAGATCTCAAGACTGTATCTCCAATAGCCTGGCGAATATTTTCTAATTGAATTCCCATCATTTTAGCAAAGCATGTTCAAACCAAACTCATGTTTATTTACAGCAGACAACCTCTCAGTGTTACCAAGAGGAAAGAAAAAGGGGGAGAGGACAGGAGAAAGGGATGAAGAAGGAAATTCCACAACATTTATGGAGTTTATTGACTGTGTAATTTGATAGGTTCTGTGTTAATTGATTATATAGTACAGGCATTATCTCACTTAATTACACATTCAAAAAGTATTTATGTATTCATTTATTTTTAGAGATAGGGTCTTTCTATGTTGCCCAGGCTTGACTTGAACTCCCAGGCTCAAGCAATCCTCCCACCTCAGCCTCCTGAGTAGCTGGGACTACTGTCATGTGCCACTGTGCCCAGCTTCAGTAAATACGTATTAAGTAACACTATGTGCTAGATATTGCACAATTGTTCTAGGTACAACAAATCTTTTTTTTTTTCTTTTTTTTGAGACACAGCCTCGCTTGGTCACCCAGACTGGAGTGCCGTTGTGCAATCTCAGCTCACTGCAACCTCTATCTCCAGGTTTAAGCGATTTCTGTGCCTCAGCCTCCTGAGTAGCTGGGACTATAAGCATGTGCCACCATGCCCAACTAATTTTTGTACTTTTAGTACAGATGGGGTTTCACCATATTGGCCAGGCTAGTCTCGAACTCCTGACCTCAAGTGATCCATCTGCCTCGGCCTCCCAAAGTGCTGGGATTACAGATGTGAGCCACCATGCTGGCCTAGGTACAACAATTTTATGAAGCAAGTATTATTTTGCAGAAGAGGACACGTGGACTTAATAGTAACAACAGAAACTTATTGGATGTTTATTGTGTGCCAAGTGCTCTAAGTACTTTAAAATAATCATATTGTTCAATATTCACAACAAACCAATGAAGTAGGTACTTTTATTATTCCCATTTAGAGAAGAAATTTGCTCAAGCTTACACAGCTAGTAAGTGGTGGGGATGGAACTCACACCCAAGTTTGCTAATTTCAAAGCCCATGTTATTTTCATTGTGCCAGACTACTCGCCAACATTTATCCAAAGATCTATAAACTTCTAGAATGTTCTTTGATGAACCCATTTCCTATATGAAGGACATATTTCCATATACCTAATAATAATTAGTCTCAAAGTACTGCTAGTCATTCCTATGAAATCTTTTTGTTAATTTGTTCCTTTGAATTTCTCCTACCACCATATGCCAGAATACAGCCTTCATACTACTTCCTGTAAACTGGAAGACATTCTAAAATAGAACACATGCCT